ACTATTATATACAATTATTTCTAAAATAAATATTTCAAATTCTTAAAAATAAAATTATAATAATAAAAATAATGTTATTCTTTTAGAGATGGAGAATAATATTACATGTAAAGTACATGGAAATTGTGATAATTTTGTTCACGATATAGCTCAAAAAATACATCGTGCAAGAATTTAAAATTTTGAAAGTAGTTCAAATTAACGGGAGCTATTTGTAATTTTATCAAACTAAGGGGAGCTATATGCAAATTCTTTAAAAGCCTATATTTCTTATCTGCTCCATTTTTTCTCAGAAGAAACAGAGAAGCAAACATGGCTTCTTCTTCTTCCTCTTCTTCTTCTTCAGTGGCTCTCAGTTTTCTCTACCAAAACCCCATTAAAGCTTCACTCTCAATTCCAAAAGCTCTTTCTCCTTACTCAAAACTCACATTCCCATCTATTGCGACCTTTTATTCTGCAATTCCCCGTTTCGATTACAGTAATTTCAGAAAAATCAATCCATGTCTTCATTGCAGCAATCTTCCTACTGCTTCCACAAATAACACGCATTACGAGGTAATTTTTTATTTTTCATTTAAGTACATGAATACTTTAATCATAGACTCACTTGGCTGCTACGCAAAATTCATCTTCTTTTGGGGAAAACTGTATTCTACTTTTTTGCCACTGACATATGCAACTTATCATTACGTTCAATCAAATAACAGATTTGTTTAGTAATTAACTTTCGTATATTTTGATTAAATGTTTTAAGTAGTACAAACACATCTTTAAGTCTAATTATTGTTAACGTTTATTTGCAAATTCGAGCTACCCAAATGATGCATATTATATGTGGAAATTGCATTAATACATATTATGTATTGTTTCATAATGTACTGTATTGTATCATATTGTGTTGTTTAATGAATACAATTGTATTGATTGTATCGTTCTCCGTCGTTACATAATGTCACACATTCATAATTTTTTGATTGGTAAACCTACAAGAAGTTGTAGGATACGGGCAGAGTCACTATGAAAAGGTAGGGTACATGATAAAAACAGAATTATTAGTAAATAATAAGTAAGAGACAAAATGAGAAGAAAATACTAAGATACAAAATGGGTCATTTCGTTGTTAACTAACGATATGGATTTAAACGATACAATACAATGGAATATAAGTAACAATCAAAATAGATATTGTACTTTAAATAACAATACAATGCAATACAACGGGTAACAACCATCCAAACAAGGTGCAAGTCTACATAGTAACCTGTATCCAACAAAATATTTTGTTCTTGGTATTTGTTTGTGAAATTTACCTCCACGAGGTAGGGGTGATGTCTGCATACACTCTACCTTAACCGAGACCGCACATGTGGAATTTCACTGTGCGTGTTGTTCTTATTGTATTTGGTAGTAAACTTTTAAGATAGTATCAACTACCTGTAAACTTTGCTATTATTCAGAATGAGTTTGCTTCTCTTTTCCGACCAATTTGTGGAACTTATGCAGTTTTCAGATGGCTCCTCTGAGGTGGAGCTAAGATTAGAACTTGGGCAGGGAGATGTAACTCCTAAGGATATATATGTAGATGCAAATGAGAGCTCATTAGCAATTAGAGTACAGCAATCTGGAATTGTTCGGACTCTCATGGAAACCAGTACTCTGTATGAGAAAATAAAACCTGCAGAGACAATATGGTAAATGAAAACATAATTTTAGTGAATCTGTTTTATCCTTTTGCAACGTTTTATGAAACAAATCGTGTAGGTACATAGATGAAGATCAATTAGTAATTAGCTTGAAGAAGCAAAACTCCGAGTTGAAATGGCCTGACATTGTGGAGTCTTGGGAGTCCCTAAGTGCTGGAATTACACAACTCCTTAGAGGAACATCAATATACTTAGTTGGGGAATCTACTGAAATCAACCAGAGGATTGCTCGAGAACTGGCTGTTGGACTAGGGTATGTTCCTCACTTTCATGAGTAAATGATAATGCTGCATAAAGTGACGGAGCTACAGTATTTCGTATATGCCATATATTAGTCCTCTTTCACCGAACCTAGGTGAAAAGAGATGAATGGATCATGATAAATAGCCTGAATGGTGGTTTTCCTTAAAAATCTGTTTTTTTGACTTGACAAAAGATATGGATTAGTTATAATTTTCCTTCTTCCACATTCATGATCGTCCATTTGCATTAAGTTACTGCAACCCCTGCACCCTTGGGATTCTTGCTTGCTTCTTTAGTCAAGATCTTCTAAATTTTCGTTCAACTCTTATGGTGGTTAGGTACACTCCACTTTGTACAAAGGAGCTGCTAGAAACATATGCCAAGCAATCAATGGAAACGTGTGAGTTACATCCATTTTTCTTTTCACAGAGAAGATAATTATTGTTAAACAATAAGTTTTACAAGGAAGAGCAATAGAAAAAGAATTGTTTACATGGAAGATCTGAATTCTCACAACTGCACAATGATAAATATTGGAATTTGAACATGTGTCAATGATGCTCACTGGAACAATTTATTTACTTTCTCCAAAACATCTAAAGGCATAGTAGCTCTTTGTTTGGCTTCACTTCCTTTTTCTTTTCTTTATTCAATTTTTCTCTAACCAATTCCAGGGGTTAATGAGGAGGGGTCTGATGCTGTAGCAGAAGCAGAAAGTGCTATACTAGAGAGTCTGAGTAGGTATTTACTTTGTCTTGCATATCTTACTCATTTCACTTGGAACTGGAAGTAAAAATGTATTTATATTTGATTCTTGTTTAGCCAAGCCCGTGCTGTTATTGCAACCTTGGGAGGGAAGAAAGGCGCTGCTGGAAGAGTGAACCAATGGAGGCATCTTTTTGCTGGATTCACAGTCTGGCTTTCCCTTTCTCAAGCTACAGGTTAGGAAACTAAGCTCTCTCTCCCCTTCTTTTGGATGTACAGTATGTTTTACAAGCCTATCTATTGTTATATCGCTTTTTTTTCCGTCCATGTGTTTCCAATCCCCTTCTTTAGATAGTCGAGCAGTGTCAGAATACGTAGTTATTACAACTTTTTCTTTTTTTGAGCAAGGAATGAAGAACTTAAGTGTACATCATAAATCAGCTGACAAACTGCTCTGCTTGCATGTGGCATCATAAATTGGTATTTGTGGTGAATGCTTCTCTGAATCGACTCAAGGGAAGTGGTAAAATTCCTTAGTTGACAGGCCAATATAGGTATGTACATGTGGACTACAAATAAGGTGGGAAAAAAAAATCACAAAAACTAGTCCCCTTCTGGGAATATCAGTTTTTGCAGAAAAGTAGTATATTTTCTTTATCTGATTATTTTTGAGTCTTTCAATTCCTAGAAACATCTCTCTACTGTTGATACTATATAACTTACACAGAGAAAGAGATAACAAATGGACATGAAAATAGGAACTGAGGTAGAAACAAGGTTCTCCTGATTCTAAGTGCTTCTGTGAACCCCTATGTGAACCAAACTTAGTAGACAACTGTAGGAAGAAACCCAAAATTGGCATTATATTATCACTGAGTAACACCACTTAGAATCACTGGTTAACACCTGATCAAGTGCGGATAATTGATCATTAAACTGAGAGCAACTGGAGTAAGCAAGGAGCATCAAAAGTAAATGGGGCTTCAACTTTCAAGTCCATGTTGAAATTTTGTAGGAACGTGACATCACCTCTCTTGCAACACGGGGACCAGACTGGGGGTATAGCAAACAGTATCCTTTGGAGGATTCCATACATACAGTACAACCCATTAAGAAACCCTTCTTTGTTGTGCTGAAACAGTTCACACCTACCAAGTGCACCACCAAATTATAATGGGAGTTTTTGTCATATTTCTTAAGCTTGTCTTTGTCTTTGCTAATATCAATTTCAGATGAAGAATCTGCAAAAGAGGAGGCAAAAAGGAATATGCAAGATAGTGGTCGTGGTTACTCTAACGCGGAAGTGGTAGTCAAGCTTGGAGGTTGGGATCCTAACTATTCAAAAGCAGTAGCTCAGGCTGTGCTTAGTGCCCTTAAGCGCTTAATATTGGCAGATAAAGACCTTCCAGGTACGCTAAGCTTCATGCTTTGTTCTATTCTTAGTTGTCCACAAATGAACTTTGAGTTTGTTGTGGATATAAAATGAACCCATCCTGTGGCATGAACCAGAAGTCTACACAAGCTTGTCATATGTTCTTTACTGTTATTTTGTTCTGCTCTGAAGGGAAAAAGAGTTTATACATAAGGTTGGGCTGCCGAGGTGATTGGCCAGACATCAAACCCCCAGGCTGGGATCCATCAACGAGCCTTGATGCATCTTCTCCGCGGTCATAACTCATAGCAGAATCACAGTATATGTATCTAAATGAAGCTATTTTTCTCTACCCTTAGGCTCTTGTATCAATGTATCAAAATTAAAAAACATTCTTCTTGAGGATATCAAGTTGGATATTCTCAACATGATCTTTCTATATTAAGGGAAAGAAAAGACTAAGGTCCTGGCGTGTATTAATTGTCCAGAAAGTTGCCATTGAGCCCCGAAGGCCATCTGGTTAGTCAGAATTTTTTTATGGAAGATGGTCAATTTTGTATGCTGTGAATAATTGCCACAAATGTTGCTTATATTCATTCTTTATTCTAATACAGTAACACCTTTTTCATTGTTGTGACTGCATTAGTGAGGTGTTCTTACATACGTATAATATATTTATATCTAATGTTTACATATCACTTAGCAAAACGAAAGAATGTATTATTAACCAATTCAACCAAATGAATATATGGATGTAAAGAATAACAATATTTTTTCCCCGTGAAATTTATCTGCATAATTGATGAGCATACGTTAAATACAATTCTCCTGAACTTAAAAATTATGTGAAAAAGATTAAACTTGATTTTCATGGATATTCTAACATTTCATTTTTATACAAAATATTTGAGTAGTTATTAAGGAATAATTTCGCGCAGAGTGTACCACTTACTATATGCAGTATACATGAAAATCGATTCTAGAGAAATTCATATTGTACCAGTGAAATATTACAAGTTCATACCAGAAGGCTATTATAACAATGTTCAAGAATTTTTAGGCAAGTGAATTAGAAACATAATAATGCGAAAACTCAAAGGAAAAATTTCACCCCTCAGCTTCAAAGTGATAACAGTACAATGCCTAAGTTTTTGTTAAAATACAACGCCACCGATGTTTGCTACAGTTTTATTCTCTTCAAACCATGATTAAACCGACTAGCAGCACTTTCAAGATGCCAACCTAAAACCAATTTAAGCTCCAGTAACTCCTGCTGTGCACCAATTATTGCCATCACAGACGGGAGAGAATTGGAAGTCGCATATATAGAAGAACAGAAGGTGCAAGTCTAGACATAACTGCATATAATCACAAAATGTTCAAAGAAACTAAAGCTACATAACACCAAAAACAAAGAGAGATAGAGAGAAGAGGACGACGCTTGATTGGTAAAAGTGGACTCTTCGCCACCACGCAGCGATCCACCCTTGCTGGTACAGCCTCAACAATTACTCTCCCCACTCGGCACATTCAGAAAGCATGGAGATGCGGAAGGCGGCTGCAAACATAAAGAACAAACTTCTAAAGGCCCCCTCAGATAACATTCTATACTATTCATTCAGTAGCCTGCATATACCAAAACTGCACATCCATTTACTTACCAAGAGTAGAATATATAAATCCCACCACATAAAAGAAGCAAAAGAGACGACAGAGAATACAGCAACAAAGGGAAGGCCCAAATAGATGTACTAATAAGTCGTGTAAAGACCTATACCAACCAGACTAATAAAATAAACCCAGGAAAATGTGTCACCAAGAGAAGTCACGTCATGGGACGAGACTTAACAAGTTCCACCCGTACATCTGAGAAATTCAAAGATCCAGGTAAAAATATATGCAGTACCACGTACTACAGGTCAAATAAATGGTATACTTAAAGAGTAAATTGCACTTGCCACTCAATTCCTAATCAATCTAGTTTTTGATTTATTGGAATACAAATTTGTCATGTACCATAAAAACAAATCCAATCAATTCTTGAATAAAACACTACAAGAGGAACAAAGTGGTACTTTACAAGTCAATAGTCACTCAACTTTGGCTAAATATCACTAGAAGTCACTAAACAATGTTTTGTAATAAAAAGAATCATTCACTTTACTCAAATATCATACAGAATGTCTTATTTGTTTCCCTCTAAGCGACTCCATGATATTCAGGCAAATTTTAGCTTCTCTCCTCAGTAACAGACTTTTATTAAAAATATAGTTCAGTGATTCTATGATATTTAGGTAAAGTTACTAACTTCATTATAAAAACATTTGTGACTTGGGTACACTAAAGTGAAAGCTGAGTGTATTAATGATATTATTAATCCCAGAGCCACTTCTAAAGTATACCAATTGACATGCATGTCCTCTACATAAATTAATCACATTAAGACATCTATGTTGTCTAGCCTTTAGATTCTAAATTATCTTTAAGGTTTTTGAAATGACCAGATTCTTGTTCTGATGTTAGGACGATCTCATGCATTACATTTAGTGGATCATTAGTTATATAGGGAATGGATTTCATCATTGCCCATACTGTAATCCGCGCCCCTACTTGTAAGCATTCTTATGATGATGATAGTACATCAGAATAAAATTCACTCCTTGGAAAGAAAGGAAAAAGACAACGGAGAAAGTATAATAATGCCGCCACAACAAGGGCATTTAAGAATCGAGCAACCACCACCAACAGAAACAACCAGATTGACTATATAGTGACAACAGTAAGGTCTCAATACACTTTAAACTAGAGGAGAGATTCTTGGACCAAAAAGGAAATATAAAATAAAAGGATACATATGCCACCTAAACTTATTGAGAAAAACTTGCCACCCAAACTAAAGAGTAAACCAACTTTTTTTCCTACTTCGCTTAAACCAAAATTAATATATCAATTCGAGACAAGTGCAGTTGTCAACAAACACCCCATCGGAAGTACAAAACTACCAAATCATATATGGATCGGAGCACAGTACCTTACACTGGAGATTGGTTATGGTAGACTTCAATAACTGATCACCCACTATCAACCTCAGCCTTCTAATGAAATCATTCCGGGAAATTTTTTTGCTCTAAGGAAAAAAAAAACAGAGATAGGTTCAGGGCGTAAGAAGAAAGTTAAAAAAGAAAATTATTAGACCTGTCAACACAACATACCCTGAACAAGTCATAATGTGCATGAACCAATTTCAAATCTTTTGGAGACACTTTAGCTGAAATAGCTCCGAATAACATAGAGAAAGGCATCCAGGGGGATTTAGGTGATTTATTGGTACCCACACCAACACCATGGGATTGCTGTATGTTTCTTACAAATTGATATTGCTGACAGTTCCCCTAATAGCATAAAACAGGAGATGTTAAAACAAGCATATCAACTTAATGAGAAAGACTTAGGCTAAAAATCCAAAGAAATTTTTTTACTTCTTTGCAAGTAAACAATAAATTATTAAATGGAAGAAAAAAATCGAGCAAAATGGAATAAATTTTCCCCAAAATTGCAAACACTGGAAGAAGGCAGAGACTAAAAATAGAAATATATCTTTTGAGTTTTGACTAGGTTATTTCTTAACAAACGGAACAGTTCCAATTATAAAACAAGCAAAACTGCCTTGCACCTAATAGTTTCTACGTGTAGATGTGCTCTGTAAAGCAATTGCATTGACAATCTCATTATCGTGCCAACATCAACAGAAGTCACAAGCCAAAACAAAAAAAATTATCACCTAGTTTGCTTCCTATGGTGTCAAGATATCATCATACTGAATGCTCCTTTAGCTAAAACTTGAGAACAGTTCCTCAACAGAAACTAAACACACCCTTTGCTCAGACTCGGAAGAATCAACTAAAAGAAGAGATCATTCTCTTTCTTCCAACAGTAAGATTACCGTAAGCGAGGAGATCAAGTGCAACAATGCTCAACATCAGAACAGTTCTGCTTTCAAAATGATCAAAATTATAGAATTCACACATCCTCTGAGAAGCTAACTTTATCCACCTCTTACAAGTTCGCCAAGGACTGTCAATGAATGAAAATTCATATATAGACAAAAATATGTGCTGATACAAAGCCTTCAAACCTCATATTGCAAATTCTTGTGCACCCGCAGCAAAGAATACTATTTCAAGTCAAAGTTCAGTTTTCTGAAGACGAGCGCACAGAAGGTACCCACTGGAGCAATCAACTTGTGCCAAGAGATGCACTTCATGTTGCCCCATATAGATGTAGTAAGGAAAATAGAACTCACGTTAGTTACCTTCCCCTCAAAACTTTTTTTACTAACCTTAATCATATTAGCAAAACAACAACAAAGACCAATCATATTTACTTAATTTTTAATGCTTGCTGTTCTTTTTTTCGGGGCGGGGAATCGGGTGGAGTGAGGGATTACCAATTCTGTAGGCAATTTATTCAAGTCCAATCGCTCCTCAGATCCCTGAGAAGTAACTCTGGAGACATCAAGCCGACTTTCTTCCTTTATTGGAGCCCCTGGAAATAAAATACAAACTAACCATCAGTGAGTGGTAATTAAGTAATTTGAGAAGTACAATTACTGAATGGCACATTAAATCGGCATAAATGTTCTTTTTACGCCTTGGATAAATAAATCAATACGTCATGCTCTAAATAGGTGGAACACCTTTATCTCTCTACATCAAAAATACCTTTGAGCAGTGTATTATGATTGCAAGTTTCCCTCTTTTAATCATTGGTAAGTTAGTCTTACTCTAGAACATTCTCCATAATGATATGAAAGTCCCTATGTATAAAAAAAAAAAAAGTCATCCTGCAACTAAATAGCTAGTGCCATCGTGCTTAATGTCCTCCAAAAGCCCAAAAAATATCAACAATGTACGCCAAAGTCCCACAAACTTCTTAACAGTGGACTATCAAGCCCAATTATCTAAAGAAGACGCCAAACAAATTAATCTACGGATTCCAAGCAATGTTCCATTAAATGCTGCCTTCAGCAGTTGCGATTACATTTTGAAAATCTAAAAAAGGAAGTCAAACAAAATATAATAATGATGACCCTCGGTTCATAAATAGTTTAGATCAAGATCCTTCAATGTGAGGCACTAGAAATAGAACAATCACATAACGAGGCTAAGAAACGTGTCATTGTCACAGTGACCCGAATCCTCAACATTAATTGTGCGGAAAGTGACAACACAACCTGAAATTTTTAAGAAAGTTACAAAGCTATTTACTTCACAAATACAAAACAATAGTCTTGCACGTCATAATAATCATTACAAGTATTCAAAACCAGAGCCAACTTCTGTGTTCAAAACTTTTCTCTAGCAGCAAATATCCCAAAATCCCATCTTTAAATAGTAGGAGAAGTAGTAACACATGACATGATCTCCAAAGCGGTGCACATCCAAATTCTTGTGTTAGTTGATCAAAAATAGTAATTGTATTTTTAAGGATGTAGAATTAACAGATAATATTTGACTGATTTCAGAGATAAAACGTGAACTAAATACTCTTTTACTTTGGAAGTCTAAAGTACTGCAATATTAAAAATAGCAAAGAGGAAATGCTGCAGTTTCTCTTTAAGGGAAGATGAGACATACTCAGGGTAATCAACACACTATTTAATTTCATACTAATCATGATATTCTGACATTTAAATGTAAGGAAAACGAGATAAATAAGACACCTTCTGCTCCTGAAGACATCCTGAAGCTCACGACATATTCAGGATATATGTGTGTATTCATATTCATGTTCCAAACAGTATAGTGAGTAGGACTCTCGAGATCATCAACACCACTATCATATCTCTCATTGCTTGGATAAGATTGATGAGAGCCAAAATGCAAAAGTTCTTCATTGCCCAAAATGACACGACAAAGAACCATGTAACGGATGCCATTTTCGTCAATATCACAGCTAGCGGCACTGATGAAGAGACAAAAAAAAGTGAAACTGAAGTTAGATCCTCCTGAAAGATAAGATCAGTGGAATACAGAGGACAATTATAATTTTTATTTTTGTTTTGACAAAATTATTGTTTCTTTCATTTTTTCTATTTTTTTTAAGGGGGAGGGGGGATGTTTTCATTAAATATCAGGAGATGATATCATAACCACAACCAAATGTGTTCAGAACACAGCATTGTGTACTTTTAAGATATTCTTTCCCCTTTTTATTTCCTGACCCCACCCCCACCCCCACCCGCAGTTATAGGAGGAGCACAGTAAAAATATTTGAACTGCATCATCACAATGATCAATGATCTCCACTAAGCAACTGGATAAATTTAAAACCCATTCTAGATCATGATATTGGAACTCCAAACAATAATGAGATCATCAATAAAAATGATTTCTCATTACAAAGTATTACCCAACCTTTTAGAGGCACAGTCCTGGGCAATGAGGTGCACTCCAACACCAAGCTTAGTCTTCTGTCCACAGGCCCCATGCATAAGCCCATAGTTCATAATTGTAGATACTACCTCTTTGGAAGCGGCAAGCCAAGCATGCCGAACATTGGATTTCCCACGATACTTTTGAGTTATCTCAGCCTGCTTCTCAAACAGTTCCAAGCGATTTCTCATATATTTACTTGAGCATTGACTAATTTTGACTATATCCACCATATAGATGGTATTCATTCCCTTAACAAACATAGTTTTAACCGATTCTGCATCCACCAACTTAAGTGTATCTTCTAATATAGGAGACAGACTTTCCTGATCCTGTTGATTTTCTGCCACTACTTCCATTTTAGGATATGATTTTTGATCAACAGCAAATTGTTGATTATCTTTTAAAGGATCGACTTTAATCCTTTTAACACGGACATTTGACTCTTCCATACCTTCATCCAATTTGCAATTGTTCGGTCCATTAATATCTATTTCAAGATGCAACTTGATATTAGTAGCCCTATCTGGCTCAGCAGCACTGAATCCTTCAGTTCTCTGCGATTGTATCTCAATGTTGTCGTGCGCTTTACAACTAACGAGACATAAATCAGGGAAGAAACAGCCACCTGCTTCGTCTATCCAGGCAATAGGTTTCTCCAATCCGGTAACCAAATTTACCTGAACCATATATAGAATATCAAGTATTACATGAAAGCCACCAAAGTTCACCTCAATCACAGCCTTCTTTGCACGGAAATCTTCTTTGACAATACGAACAATATCTTGAGGGAAATCATTCCATTCACCATTCTGATGATATAAAACACGTTGTGGCAGTCCACTTTTAATGAAATTTGAGTAGTTCTTAACTGTCGATTTCCTGAGATGTGATCTGCAATTAGTTTCACCTTCCACAGTCCTCTTCCTCTTACCAAGCGTGCTATAAAATGAGCTACAATTTGGTTGAAATGATAGCTCCTCCAGCTTCTCAGTGCCAGCTCCAACTATACGTGCCACGTACTGAGACGCTACTTTACTTTTTGAGTCGACGTCAGCTGTCCTACGGTCATTATCTAACACTTCAACCCAGTTTGACTCCATTTATCTACAGGCAACTACTATTTACAAATTTCTAACAGAAAGACTAAATCCTAAACTAGTATAGCACAGGTCTGTCATAACAAATTTCTGAGAAGCCGCATCATGGAGAACGAAATGCAAAACCTGGCAGGAGAAAGACATTTAGAAAGTCATTCATTCGAAAAAAATGGATAAGGATTTCTTCATATGAGCAGAACGATACTCGCATAAAAGAACATGTCATAGTTAAAAGTTACATAGCTAAGGTAAACTAACACTAACTGAACTGAATCCAGCAATAGAAGTAAATTTCATGTTTTTTGGTGTGCGAAACAAAAGGAAATATTTTTCGCACTCTTGTGAAATAGAAGTGAATTTCATGCCTAAATGCATATTTTTCGCACTCTTGTGAAATAGAAGTGAATTTCATGCCTAAATGCATATAACTATGTGCCAAATTTATTTACTTCCTGTAAGAGTGAATCTCTCCGTAAAATCAGTAAATTGTTCTGATGCTTATGGAATGTAGCTAGCCTATAAAAACCTACCAAATTCTGCAATGAGTGGCCATCTCGGTAGAAGCACGTTCTCTCCATAATGTTGATGTCAAGTCAACAAATTTCCCTTTGTACAAAGGTAACTTACGCGCTAATTTAATTCACCTCCTCTGAAAAACATAATTTTTGTTAGCATTGAAAGACAAAAAGATGCACATAAAAATGCCAAACCCAAATTTCCAGATAAATTAAATAAATAAAGAAAAAAGGAACTAAGGTCTATCACTATCTTTCTAGCAAACAAATAAAGATTAGCATTACACTTAAATCTCTTACTTGCTCTGAAAACTTCAGCTAATATTCAACCGTGAACAAACACCAGAGAAACAACCATGTGAACTTTTTGTGTTTTACACCTTTTTGTTTTTAAAACCTTCTTGAATTAACTTATAATCAGCAAACATGTAACTCCCACAAAATATATACATACATACATACAACTTTTTTATTATTCTATTGGGTGTACAATTGGGCAGTAAGAACTTTTTTGTTAATTATTGGGTGTACAATTGGGCAGTAAGAACTTTCTTGTTGATTATTGGCGCCTCACGCCTAACCATTCAAGATAACGCTCCTATCCTCTGTATTTCAGAGGCAGTTGGCACAGCGTTAGCTGAGTGTATAAATAGGAGTCTCCTGTCTATTGATAACACCAAGATAGAGACTATGAGTAGAACTATGAGGGACAGAGATTCTAATCAGCTAATTTCTTCACATGCCGCCTACTTGACTGGAAAGATACTGAGGATGTACTTAATACCATGTGGAAATGTCAAGGTGCCGATATCGCCAATTTACGAACTAGCTTTCATGGCTATACAAAGTTAGCATTATTCTCATATTTCAATTCTTCAATATAAACATGCGCGCAAATTCACCATATGGTCAAGTACCCCTTTAATTAGTCAGATCCCTCTCATTGTTTTCTCAACAACTGGGACACACAATCCGCATGTCTAATTAAGAACTGATAATCAAATCAAGTATTCCGCTCAAGTGTAAAAATATTTAATTTAATCTTATCTTCGTTTATATAAAACCTCAATAAACTTACTGGAAAATAAATAAAAAAATTCCTACTTCAATAATTTATCATACCGCACCGAAAATAACCAGCAATATTCAAATAATTTTCATTATCTATGTAATGATAAAAAACTTCAAAAAAAAACGATTTTTCTTCTCCTTAGCTAGAAAATTAAAAAAAAAATCAACCTTGCTACTTCAATAATTTATGACGCCGCAAAATCAATTTTTCATGATTTATATAACAAGAAAAACATCAAAAAAATCTCATAAATAGAAACAAAATCGGAAAATTTTATTTTATTACAAATTAAATCCAGAAAAATGAATTCCGAGCCGATCTACCGTGGAAACTTCGTATTTAGTAAAATCATTTCCAAAACAACGCAAATCGATACAAATCAGTCCAGATCCAAGCAGTGAACCAAAGAAAAAAACAAAAAAACTTGTTTACCCTGTTTTAACATATACCTTTCATAGATCAAACGCCGTCGTCTTTATCTTTGTCGTCGTCTCGGAGAAAGAACAAAGGATACAGGGATAACTGAGAAACAAACGATCAAACAAAGCAACGGAGATCTCGAGACGACGGCGTTGATACGGAGATGGAATTCACTGAATAGCTTGTGAAATTCATCAGCTAAATTATTATTATTATAATTAATAATAAAGATAACATTTATAGTTTGTGAGAAAAATTCAACACTTTGAATATTGTAAGTTACTTGGGCGAAAAGAAAGAAAATAAATAAAATTAAATATTTTTCAGCGAAAAAGGTAGGAAGGAGAGGTCGGCAAACATTACCTTGTAGCTTCCATTAGTGAAGGTATTATCTATGTAAAGGGGTAGTGTGAAGGCAACGACGCCGTTTCAGTTCTCGAAAATAGTTAAACGACGTCGTTGTAGTTGTTTTGTCCGTTGGTATACTTTTTTGACCTTTTGTTGGGCTATTGAAAAAGTTGTTTTCAACTTTAGCCTCTTTATTTTAAAGGTGTGTTTGGTTTTTCAATATTCTTTTTTTATATTTAATTTGTCACATCAAAATATTTTTTTAAAAAAAATAATTCAGAGAAACAAAAAATTAATAATGTTACTATGTTGATGGTGTGTCTATTCATAGCCTTCGTTTCCACTGTCGGGCAGAAAACCCTAGTTTCATTTGAGCATATTTTATGTTTATCAATCATTTTATTGAAGTGAATTAGCTTAATTTTTTAAAATTTTAAATAAGCATCATTTCAAAATTTATGAGCAAGATTTTGTGGAGTTTTAGATGTTTTTTATTTTATAATATTTTTTCTAAATATTAATATTTGATTTAATTGAATATATTAATTTTTTTAATTATTGAGACACGTCTAGCGAAATGTAGAAATCAAAATATAAAATTAAAATAAGCGGGAGATGAATGAGGGTAAATGGAATTAAAAAATTAAATTTATTATTAAAGGAAAAATATAGTTCACCTGAGGAAGAAATAAAAAAAAATGTGTTGAATACTATGAACTTCTCCCAAAAGAAGAATGGCAATTTGATTATTTACCCCATTTCTATTTTTCTATTTCTTCAATAGAAATGAGGGAGGTCAATTTTCTTGTAAAGCGGTATGCACAAAAGATGCATGTACAATTTTCATCTTTTGTTTCAACATGGAAAATAAGGAAAGCTTTTACATGAATTTTATAGTATTTTTTATATGATACAAGTAAATAAATTTGTTTCGAAAGCAATAGAATGGTGAAATTGCGTGAAATCCTCACAAAGATTTTATGCAAAAAGAACGGGCAAATCGTTTATACACTGAGATATTTTTATGTCAGCAACAGAAGCCCAAGTTTATGAAAATTGAACTGCCTTTAAGGTTGATGTTATATTATTTTGGATGACTTGGGAGTTGACGAGGAAAACAGGGTTAAGGAATGGTATCTATTTTGATGTGTGTTTCTAGAGAGGGTTCCTTTTTGTGCTTATGATTCAAAAAGTGTATATTTTAATATTGGACTATATTGTTCTTGACGAGTCAAAATTTCAATGATTTTTAAAATTTTAATTTAATTTTTTTCCGCATATAATTAGATTCATTAAACACATTACGTAAAATCCTTTAATATAAAATATTTTATATCATAAGTAACATGTTAAAAAAATTGGTAGATTTTTAAAATTATAATAGTGTCATATAATTTAGGGAAAATTATATATAATGGCAACCTAATGATTCAAATTAAATGTTATAACCAAACTCTGATTTAATTGTGTCATGTAGCAACCTGTTTGCCAGTCGTCTCTCTCCCTCAAACTCTCGCTCTCCCTCTCTCGCTTTTATACAAACACAAATGTATAAAATGTGTTTGTGTTTGTATATAGCGAGTGAAAATTGTATATATACATATATTTTTGTTCCCTCTCTTCCCTCTCCCAGATCTCGCTTGCCACTCTCCAGATCTTGCTCGTCACCATCCCAGATCTCAATCGTCACTCTCGTCTCTCTCGTTTATACAAACAGAAACGAAATGTATAAATTGCGTTTCAGTTTGTATAAAGTGAGAGAAAATTGTATATACACATGCAAATACACATATCATCCTATGCACTTATAATTATACAATATAAATATTTCCTTACGGCCTTACCCAATTTCTTTTATCTCTATTTTTTTCTCGTTTTATACACAAATTATACAATTGATCTTTTGTATACAACTATTTTCTTTTGTATATGTATAATGAATTATACAAATGATTTCTTTGTGTATGTATAACGAAATATGTGACTGTTTTTTTTAATATGTATAGAAAAATTTATATATTTATGTTTGCGATGAAACATAGTTATATAAGTATAACTATAACATATAAATATGATTTTTATGTTTGCTTTATGTGAAAGTTACTCTATAAATTATGACATAAAAATTAATGTATAATATTCTAAAATAACATAAAATATATATGAATAATATCACTAACAAATATCTTTAGAAAAATCATATTAAAATTTAATTGATTCTTCAAATTTCATTCATATATTACACAAGTTCAACAAAAAATTATTACAAATACACAAACACTTATTTGTAGTGCAAACATATAAGCAATAATAGTGTGGTATATAATGAAATATATATAAAAAAAAAACTACATAAATATACTAAAATTAAAAAATATTTATTATTTATAGAAATAATATATTTTTTTCACTTGATTACTTTTAATTCATTTATAATACAAGTTTAATGCATAATACAAAGAACAATTTATTATTCATATATAGTACAAGTTTTAATGATAGATAATGCATTTATCACACATTTTAATGTGTCAAATTTTTATCAAATAAAAAAAAATATTTCAAAAAACAATTATAATTTATATATATTGCATTTATAAAATTTACTTTTAATTTATAATTCATACTGCAGATTTAACTTAGTATTATTATACATAATAATAAATAAAAAATATTAATAAAATCAGTAATTATTTATTAACATGTAATAATTTTTCTAAAAAAAAATTAAAAAATTTAAGTAGCTAATCAATCCAAAAAGGACCCATCAAATTTAAACCCTTTGCAAAACGCAGCTTAAACCCTGCTGCAATTCTCTTTGCAACTCAGCAGAGTAGAAAGCGAAAATGGGGGAAAACGATTTGTGGGACGATTCAGCCCTTGTTAATGCGTTCAACGATGCCGTATCCAAGTACAAGGTTCTTCCTTCACTCTACGTTCTATGAAAACTCGTACTTCCATTGCTCTTACTATTTCTATTTTTCAACATCTTCAAATGCATATCAGCTGTATTTTCAATATTTGCTTTCAACGCAGTTCTGCTGAACTTAGAATTGCTCGTCTTTCTAGATGTATTAGTAATCTAATCATTTCATATGTATTTCTCTGTTTGGCGATAATTTTTGGACTTTGATTAGTATAATTTAGGTGAAAAATGAAATTCAAATGGAGTGGAATGGGATAATAGCGGGTTCATTAACCCGAACAGTGTTGTAATTGAGGGTAGCTGTTGTTTTAATATTATTTTTGCAATTGTAATACTTTCTGGCTTCAATTTAAGATATTCAGGAAGAATATTTAAGAAACCCCATTTTTTTGTTTTTCCTTGGACTACCAGCACGAAATTGACCAGGCTATAGAGTGTTGATCCCATTGTATGTGGTCAATAAGGAACATGGTGCCATTTGGTCTTGATTATAGTTGTTTTCAGGTCATCTTGTACGCACTCGACTATTCAACCAAGTAACTCATAATTCTGAGTCCTCGACTAGCACAGGTGCGGGGTAACTCCCAATCAAGGCGTCGGTATAATAGCAGCGTAGTTAGTCTCTTTTAGGTTTAATTTTTTCACTTGACAACTTTTGCTATTGGATTTTAGTCTTGAGTAAACCTCTAGGCAGTTGGACATTGTGAAGAGATTGGAAGCGTTAAGTTGGACATGAGAAAATGATATTTACATGAGGACCCATCTTTTCTACTTTAATTGTGCCTTTCATTTATTTGACTTTGGGTTCTAATATGTCAAGGGAATGATTTATGGTGTTTTTTGCTGCCAATGTATCTGAGATGACGGGGAAGAAAAGAACAGAAGCGATGTGGATTCCGTTATATTGTGTTTTAGGAGGAGCACTAGAGAATTGTGTGGTGCTGGAATGAGGGAAAGGAGGGCTAAAGAGAGAAAAAGTTGCTGCTTTCTGTTAGGGGAGGGAAGAAAGCATATCCTACAATGTATGTACCAGAGAGCAATATAAAGTTCTTTTGAAGTAATTTTTAGGTAAACTTTCAAGGATATAGTTCATTTAATTTACCATGTCCTGCGTTTGAGGATGTTATGAGAGATGTTTTTGTCTTTATCTGAGTGCAAGTAGAACTTTCCTGGGTGCATCTTCCGACTTCCATTGTGCAGGCTATTTTCGTATGTGAAGTTAGGTCTACTAATTTCTTTTCTGTCGTTCTTACTTAAAATTTTGTTGAACTTGAATTTAATTTGTTTTTATCTCTGGGATACTGGATGCCTAGGTTGAATGAAAGTATTGTGGCTCTCTTTTCTCCCCCTTTTCTGTTCCTTCTTTTTCACGATCATAATTCTTGACATCATTTTGATTCCACTACTTCTCTGCATTGGCCATGATCTTTTGTCTCCTCCTAACTTCCCTAGCTTCCATACAGCCTGCTTTTCTCTCAAACCCTCCAAATCAGTCTTCATCCCGACCCCTTCCATAAAGAGAGTAACTTAAGTCACAGCTGCTATTGCACAGAGCTTAGAATCAAACACAATACTTGTTTACTGATTGTTATCATTTCTTACTCCTTTCCCCTTTCTAAGAAAATTTTATATGTTTCTCTTGATGTTCCTCTTTCCAATTTCCAGATTATGCATAGTTTAGAAGCTAAAGTTAGCAGCAAAGAGGAGAATGTGACAGCTCCTGATGACGGAAGCAATGAGCTGAAAAGGTCCATTTATGACTCAATTTGAGTGATATCTCTTTTTATTTCTTATATCGAGCTTAATGATTAAAAATTATCATGAAGGAAATGCTACCAGCTAAGAAGACTTGGACATTTCTAGCTCTTAATGAATTCAATTTTTAGACTCAAAATGAGTGATATTAAATGGAAAAGTTTGTTATTTTCTAACTCTCAATGAATTCAATCTATGACTCTAAATGAGTGATATTAAATGAGTTTGAAAGGCCTATTCATCATTTGAATCAACAGACATTTCTTTTTATCTCTTCTTTGAGCTTTTTAGTGTTGAAATGATAATGAATAGGAAATGCTACTACTTGAAAAGATTTGCACAAATCTAGAGAATTAGAAAAGTTTGGTGTTCTCAAACTCTTTTTATTACGTAATTCTCTTAAATTGATGCATCTTGAGATGTCTGCTTTATTCTGCTTGGGTTTCAACTTAGAGGTATGTTAAGCACTTTTACTTTGCCTTTCTAGTAGGGCTCTGATTAAAATTCTTACATATTCTGGTTGGTAGACTCATAGGTCAGATATCATCTTTCTGATGATTTATCGTTGCAATACGTTGTTTATATGCCACAACTTCCCCTGTTGATTGCTTTATTATTGAACTTTAACTTCCTCCCTGTATCCACTTCTTCTACTTTTTGTTTGCTTCACATGTGCCAGCCTGGGCAGTAAATATGCAGAGGTACTTCTTCTGTCCCAGTTGTGAAGGAGTTTGGAGTACTTGGGTCAAAACACTTAATTTTTACTATGAATAAACTATACATATTTGAAAACTATCCCTCATTTATGGGATTTCACTGGGTATAATGTTGTAAAAACTTTATGACATACTACAAGTCAAATGTCAACATCTAATGATTCAAAATATTTTTAAATATTTTTAAGAATAGTCAAAGAAAAAACTGTTTTACTCCCCAAACCGTAACACCTTTACATAAAATGGGACTGAGAGAATACTTCTTGTGATAAGCTTTTTCAAGTGACATCAGGAAAAACAATTAACTGTCTGGAGACTGACGTTCTGCTTTATTTCTCTTTTTTGTTTTCACCTGTGTGGATGAAGCAAAGGGGAGGGAGGTGATAACAGCAAACTTGCACCAGATACCACTACAGAAATGGGGGATGCAAGCAGCCTTCCACCAGTAAAAGAAAATTCCTCTTTTGAGGCAGTTCCTCCTCAAAACCACACTGGTCAACTGAATGAGCAAAACACCCAGTATAAGGCCATAGAGAAGTGCAGTTCACAGAGTTTAGAAGATTACAACCAGTTACTCTACAAATATTACGAACTTGAGGATCAAAGGCAAAAGATTTTGCAGCAACTTAACCAGTTTGGCATTTGGGGTGATCAAAATTCTGGTTCTGCTTCTCAAGAACATCAAGCTTATGCATCACATAATTTAAATCCAACAGAGTCTTCTTTCTACTGCCCATATGGATGCCAAAGTTGGGTATCTCCTTGCACTGCATCACCTTGTTGTTTGGGTGTAAATGAGGATGACAAACCATGCGATGCGTCTATACGATGTGTTCAAGAAAAAAAATCATCTCCTCAAAACCCTAGTTTGGTTGATACAGCAAAAGAAGCTGCAGAAAAAGCACTCTCCTCTTTAAAGCAAGCTTCTAACACGGCTTCACTGAATTCATTTGCAAAGGAAGGTGAGCAGCTCTCTTGATGCTTTTGTGCATGACTGCTTCTTTTTATGTCTAGGGTGTGATGTGGTAGTAACTGGAAGATCCTTCAATTTTCTATTACATAATGAGGTGAAATGAATACGGACAAGAAGAAGACAGAGGTGGAGAAGAGGGGGGGGGGGGGAGAGCAAGTTTTGACTTGATTGGTTATGGATTACATGTGTGTTTGGTACAAAGGATTTTCCAATTTCCCATGTTTGGTTGGTCAAATATTTTGGAAAACGTTCTCTAGAAAAACGAACTCCTTGAAATCAGGAAAATGACTTGCCTAATGAAGTAGGGAAAACAAGTTTCAATAGTGACATTCCACATTAATTGTGTCCTCCCACCTTCCAACACATCTCATCTTTACCCCCACACCCCTTCCTCCCCGCCCTCACCTACCATAATATTTGTCTAAATTATATACAATTGCTTTTAGGATAATATTTGCTTACCTACCGAACACGAAAAATTAAGTAGGAAACCCACTTATTTTCCTGTGGAACATTTTTCAAGAAAATATTTCCGTGGAAAACACTTCCCTTCATACCGAAAACACCCTACAAATGAAGTCAGTATCTCTGGGTAGCAGGGCAATCGAGTAATCTTAGTCCATTGATTCTAGGTCCTGCTATACTGAATGCATGTTGATGACTTACTGCTAGGAGCACTAGCATCATATAATACAATAAGGATCTCAAATGTGCTACAGAAATTCAAAGAACAACTTAAAAATCCAATATAATGTGAGAAAGAACTTTAATCTTTCAAATGTCCTATTCCTTTAATTACTTTGTTTTTACTCTTTCTAATTTCAGGAAAACAAATAGAGATGATGAACCCTGTTGCTGCAGAGAAAACTGGCGGCTTGGAGACGGATCTATCGGAAGTGCTAAATGCATGGTATTCTGCGGGCCTTTACACTGGAAAGTAAGTTTATGTGAAGTTCGATTCTTCAATGGATGATATGATATGCCCCAGTGTACCTTTATGTGGAAACTGTTGCTTAACACCAAACTCTTGCAAATATGGTAAATTTGTAAAAAATTGAAAGCAAGCTGTTTCAGAATCAGACCATGCAAATATTTGCTCGTAAACATAATTTTCTGGTTGAATTTTAAAAAGGATCCATATCACCTCTTCAGTTTAGTGACTTTACTCTATAAAGGTTAGCTACATGAAGTTCTCTTGCTGTCCCATAGAGAAAAAAAGGGCTGCTGATATTTTCTCATAAGCTGCTTGAGAATTAGTGGGTATGGTACTCCCTTAGTTGGTAGGAGGTAGCAGGTGTGAAATAGTCAAGGTGCGCCCAAGGTCGTCCAAACAACATCGTTGTCGAAACAAAGATAAAGTCTTCACTTGATGGAACCTTTAAAGGCATCAGTGTAAGAACTCGAGGTGTGGGTCAAAGGGAAACGACAGTCAAGGGTATGGTTCTAAAGTCTTGCAATACTTGTATCTTTTCTGTTGTGAGTATTTGAAGTGCTCTCATAGAAGGATTTGGGTTAATATTCATTAGAAGATGACCTGTCTTAGGGTGTTGTTCGGTGCAGAGGTTTTCCAATTTTCCCTCTTTCGGTTGGTCAAAAATTTTGAAAAATATTTTCTTTACGAAAGTAAGTTCCTTAAAAATAAGGCAAAAATGACTTGCCTAACGTAATTAATGTAATCAAGTTTCACAAATGGTATTGAAATAAGGCCACCTTTTGATTGCAGCCAAGGCAAGAATGCCACGAATGGTGTTTAGCAACCTGAAGCAAATGTTTTCCCTATCTCTAAAGGGGGCCCTTGGGCCACCTCCAACACAACTCATCTTCCCCGCTATTCCCATAACCTCATCCGCACACCCGTACCTACACCCCAACCTTCCATAGTATTTGTTTAGACTATATACAACTGTTTTTACTTTTTAGGGTAATGTATTTGCTTACATATCGAACACAAGAAAATAAGATGCCCACTTATTTTTCTAGAAAATTTTTTCCATGAGTGTTTCCGTTTTAATTAGATTTGTAGCTCAACCCCTGAAATATTTGAATGTGATGCAGGTATCTTTCAGAGCAATCCAAGAAGAGAGATGGTTAGCGTCGTACTGATTCAGTTGGAACTTAAATGTGGTGTTGTCGATACGACAAGAGGAAAAATTCATTGTACTAATGTTTGTGCACTAGAATTCAAAGCTGTGATGTAAAACTAGATGTTGTACAGCATTTCTGGTAGGTTGATTTTTCCAAATATTGACAATACAGTTGTTTTTTCCCCTTTTTTGGGGGTGGGGTGGGGGTTCAAGTGTTGAGCTTCAGTTTTTTTCTTTCACCCTCACTGTAGGCGTTTGCACATTAATTTGATGATGTGTGAAAAATGAGAGTAGTATTTGAAGTTAAATTGAATAGTGCATTAGAAAATTGAAGTTGTGTTTGAAACGTGCAATTTACTTTAGATTTTATGAAGTTTTGTGAGGGAAATTAAATTATTTACTTGAAAATGTGGTCCAGCAAGTTTTTCAAATTTAAAAAAATGAGCTTCAAGTTGGAATGAAAAATTGACTTATTATTGGACAAATTTTGTTCTATTATTTTGGGAAAAGGAAAATGTTTTATTTGAAGTAGAAATTTTTGGGTTGATTTACTCAAATGTCCTTTTTTAAGTTTGTAAATTTTGTTTTTATTTTGATAAGTTGTGTATTTGGGAAATTACCTTTCAGACAAAAATAGATAGAGGTGTAATGTTTAAGCATATATTAACCAATGTTGCATACAAAAAAACTAGACTGTTGTTTAATGTTTGTAAAAATTTACAAATTTAAGTTTGTGATTTAACATTTTCTCCTTAGACTTTGTTGAAAGAGATCTTTTAAGTTATGATTTAAAAGGTATAGACGTTACCAGAGAATAAAAGAAAATTACTTTTCAACACGAGAAGATACAATCTTTTAACAACAGAGAACGATACAATCTATCCAAATATTGCATTCATTAAAAATACATTATGATACAATAAAATACAATATAATATAATACAATACATTATGAAACAATACGTAACAATCATCGGAACAAAATGTAATACAAGGGGCAAACGTGCATTTTTCCCATGAGTTGGGCCAATTTCTAATAACCCACATTTATTTAAGCCCAATTATAAATAGAGGTTTATGTCTCTATGCCTTTAACCCTTCTCCTTGGTTGCTCTGTTCCAGCTGTTTGCTGTTTGCTGTTTGAGGTCTCAACACTCGCTTAATCTCAGCTAAATATAATTCAAAGCTGTAAAGGAAACGAGAAAACATCTAATTTAGGTATTTTTCTCCTCTTAATCGTTGTTTTTCAAAGCTTATATGAGCTGGTTCTCTGTAGAAAAGTAAGTCTTTTTGATGGGAGTTCGTTATTTTCCCAGTTGGTTCTTCAACATGAGGTCTTTTTAACCCTTTATTTACTTCTTTCATCATGACATGAACTGGGTCTCCGTAAAAATCGAGTCTTGATGGAGTTTTAGTATTTTGCTTGTTGTGAATTCCCTTAGTTTCTTAATTGGCTCCTGAACATGAGGTTGTGTGATTTTTCTGGGAAGTAATTGGTTTGTTTTTCAATCATCATTGTGGATAGTTTAGCGAAAATGGAGGAAGAATTTAATGCTGGAAGGATCAAAGGCGCTGCTAAGAGGACTTTGCAAATTACACCTCTTGATGAGGAAGATCAAGAAGAGGTTCAAATTGATGACAGTGGAGATGTTGATTCGTATGATGATGATGATGAGACGGAGGAGGAGGATGAAGACAAGGAACCTGTGGGATTAGGGGTTCTTGAAAAGCCTGAGAATTCATGGTCACTGCTACGTGAGTTATTTCCAAGCAAAGCTGGGGGTACTCCGGTATGGTTAGAAAAGTTCTCTCGTTGAGTCGTTTCCGCTATCTTCCATATTCATTAGGGTGAAAGACGCCTCCAAGGTTGATTGAGTTTTAAATTTTGTTTCTGTGAATGTAGGCTTGGTTGGATCCAATAAACTTGCCAACAGGAAAATCCTGTCTTTGCGATATCTGTGGCGAGCCTTTGCAGTTCATGCTTCAGGTATATCTTTATGTTCTCGTGGAAGTTACAATTTTAGCTGCACGTTGTATCTTACATATCCTTTAGCCTAACAACAACAGATGCAGTGTAGGTAGCCTCACAAAGTGGGGTCTGGGGATCCTTTAGCCTACTAATTGGAAAACATTGTCTGATACAAAATGAAGTTAGAAGTGAAGTCTTTTTAAGTTTAGGGAATAATATTGATAATTCTAGGAATATATTTCATTATTTCATGTCATAATATGCTTAAACAATGAAGGAACTACCCAAATAACCAGTTAATGTTACTGAAGCTAAAAGTAATTATGGTTTTAGCTTGTAACTTTTTGGAGGTGGCCAGCAATACCCTTAATGCTGAAGAATACAACTTTAACGGTATCAAAAAAAAAAAACGTCTCGATCTAATTTACAAAAGACAACATTTCCAATCTAACTTGACTTTTATACAGCATAAAAGTCTAAATCTAACTGTACAATATACAACATAAGAGGAGATGTGGTTCTTTTTTCTTATTATCCTCTTGGAGTTGGTCAATGGAACTTTAGCTCTTCTGTAGGTTTAGGATTTAATTGTTAATGACTTCTGAATATATTTCTCCTATCTAAGTTTAAGTCTATCAATGTTTCTCCCATTGCATGTTTCTTTCAACTAGATGGTCTACCAAATGGCTTGAGCTTATAGTGCGAAAAATTAGGGCCATGTAGATACTAGTACAACGCCTCTTCTTTTGAGAATTCTCGTATAAGCCCCAACCCCCTTTCTGTTCCAGCAGTGCAGCAGCTTTGTAATGTAGATATGCATGATCCAATGCCTGAAATTTTATAATACATGCTCCATAATTGACTTGTGACCCTGCAATGGAAAAAGAAGAAACTATATTCTTTGATCGCTCCACACAATGGACACCTTCTGCAAAGCTGAAATCCCCCTGTTTGAAGGTTTATTTGAGTGAGAAAGCTTCCCTAATCAAAATCCAAGAAAAGCAAGAGACCTTCAAAGGAGCTCTAATCTATTGAACCAAATCTTCCAAGCCCATATATCCTTCTTGTAACTTGTTAGATTCCATCATAGTGTAGCAACTTTTGACTGAATAAAGTCCTTTGGAGTGTCTCATCCAACTGATGGAGTTAACTTTGTTGTGATCCAAAACTACACTGTTTAGCATCTGAAGCAAAAAGCCTAAGCTTTCTACTTCCCAGTCATTCAAACTCCTTCCCAGAAAGAGATTCCAACCTTTTGCTAAATTAAATTTTGTAATTTTCTTTCCATTGTGTTGTGGGGGGATAAACTGTATATGTCCAAGAATTGGTCTTTAAGCAGATGTAGCCTTACCATTTTTTTTGCCAAAATCTGATTCTCTTTCCATTACTGGGAAGAGAAACCGATATTTGTTTCAAATTTTCTCCAATATCCTCGAACGTTATTTCCATAATCCTGTTCAATGAGGTGCTTAAGAGATTTTGGTGTACCGTGGGTTCTCTAAAGTGAACTTCTCCAACCAAGGTTCTCTTCCAAAGTGCATTTTCCTCAATATTGCATCTCCAAAGCCATTTCATCAAGAGGCATTTGTTATGACTTTTAGGTTTTTGATTCTCAGTCACCCATTCCTTTTGTCTCTGGTCACTGTTTTCCAATAATCCAATTTACAAGGAATGCTAAAGTTGTTTGTTTATCGTCGTGCAAAAGAAAGTCGTCTCCTTAAGTTGTCCAGGCGCTTCACCTTGATTAGTTCATTTGCTGCCTATTTTTCAATAATGTATTAGTTATTTCTGCATCATATGGGCTCTACATCTACTTGTGTGCAGGGTTCCTTTTCTACCATTTGTCCTCTTTTTTGTTTTTCCCGGTGTGGCAAAAGAAGAGTGGAAAGAGGAAACTGAATCGTTGTGTTTCCTTTTTGTTTTTTTACTCATTGTTAAGGTTTACGCACCACTCACGGAGAAGGATTCGACTTTTCATCGCACCTTATTTCTCTTCATGTGTACATCAATGACCTGTCTCCTTAAAGATCAACATGAGCAGTGGAAAAGGAACCAAGACAAGCAATCCAGGAGGTACTTCGTCATAATTGAATTTCGTTGTGTGACTATAAACTACCATGCTTAGTATCCGTTCATCTAACTCTGATTACTGAATGTGTTTTTCAAGTGTCAAGGTCTTTCGTTGCCAATTGCCCCGTGATAACTCTTTTTACTCCAGTGAACCCCCAAGAAACAATGGGAAAGATAAACCTTCTAGTCCTGGAGGTAATTCCTTGGAAGGATCTACTTTTTTCATTGGTCAATGACTCAAGTTTACAATTGATTTGATTAAGTATTTGCGATTATCTATCAAAGTCGTTGGCCTTTCCTTTTCTTTCAACTCCATATTAATTGATCACCCAAAATATTTACACATAAATTTCCTGTATTTTTTGTAATACGTCTTGTCTTTCATTTCTCAGCTGTTCTCTGTGGCTGGTGTGGTACATGGAAAGGAGATAAAGTCTGTGGTGGTTGCCGAAGAGTACACTACTGCTCGGAGAAACATCAGGTCAGCAACGTGTACCATGCTTTGTTTGCTCCTTCCTGTTTGGACGGAATTTTCCTAACTGAATCCAATTTGCAGACTGTTCATTGGAAATCAGGTCATAAACAACGCTGCTTACCCTCAAGCATTTCTCAGGATGCATCTGAACCTAGTAATAGTAAGACTCTTAGGGAAGTGCAAGAAGGTAAGGGCAATCAATGCTTTGTTCTAAAATCTTTCTTTAATGATATGATACTAGAAAAACGGTAAGAATGTTATATATTTAGAATGTCAGTGCATGAGAAGTTCATGGAGATTATAATCCTTGAACAGTTGCAAGCAAGAGTCTCTGGCCAGAATATGAGATCGCAATTACTGATGAATGTGAGGATAACGTTTCTGATGATAATGGTCTAGTTAACTCATTGATTTCTTCAAGCCGTGTGGATGAATCAATTGAGGCACTTATGGACAGCTTCGAGGTATGCAGAGCTATTCTAGTGGTTGATGGATATGTCGACTATAACTTTCTACTTCACAATTCACATAATTGTTTCTACAACAGGGGGGAGATGACAAGAAGAGTTGGGCATCTTTCCAGGAGAGGATATCTCGTACCCCTGAGCAAGTATTAAGGTGATTGAAGTACTTGCGCCTTTTTTCTACTATATTAATCTTGAAAAACACTATGCGTGCATAGATAAATGACAGCCGCCACCTTCTTTGCTATTCCCAAAGAATTATGATCACATGACTTGTCACTGAGTTCGATCATTATCTTGGAAATAGGTACTATAGAGATGCTGGAGCAAAACCATTATGGCCAACGTCAAGTGGCCAACCATCAAAAGCTGACATCCCTAAGTGCACCTATTGTGGCGATCATAGGGCTTTTGAATTTCAGGTATAATGAAGCTTTTGCTTTGCTTACAAGTCAACTAGTGGTGATTCTCAAACTACTAAAAGCAGTTGTATGTCTCTGGCTGTCTTGTAGAAATTGTAGCTTAAGTTGTTGGTTGCCTGAAAAGTATTTTCAATCCATGCTCTTTTTTTCTGCCGCTTCCAGGTTTTACCACAAATACTCTATTATTTTGGTGTGGAAAATGATGTGCATTCTCTTGATTGGGCTACTATTGCTGTGTACACCTGTGAATCCTCGTGCGATGGACATATAGCTTACAAGGAGGAATTTGCTTGGGTTCAAATTGCATCTCAATCAAGCACAACCCAGAGATGAGACGCGTAAAGCATGGTTTGAAACAAGATTGATAATGGACCGCACTCTACCCTTCACTTAAATACCAGACTTCTGGTTTGCCGTGAGATTCAACTCATGATGTGCACTTAACCTGCACAACATGCCTCGCGCTAAAATTTTGTTTTCCTTTATATTAATTTTTCTCAGATCATTTTTAGTTTTCCTGGTTAATTTGCAAACGTTTCACATTACAACGTCAGTAGTGAATATTTTGTTGTAATAGTATGTTTTTCTCATCAATCGAGGTGTTCAGCGTAAAATTGGGATCTTATGATTTCAAAAGTTTGTCTCTCTTCTACCAGATTTGATAAATCTGTAATAGGTAAGTACCCTTACTACAGTAGCTAGTATTCAATCTATATATATATATATATATATATAAAAGAGGATCTTTAGTTTGCTGTTGTGGCATGCCTAAATGATCAGGAAATTTATTTATATACTTTCTCAAATTTTTTCCTATTTTTCCATATTAATGTCTTTTAACTAATTAAAGTTTAAAAATAGAAAGACGTCATTTACCGTTATAATTGTATCCCTTTAACCGTTTCCTCAAATTAAGCCCATAATAATTGCATACGTCGTTTGGCATTCTGAATTCAAAATTAACGTCTACGCAGAAGTCCCATCACATCATCCTCTTTGCGAGCAAAAACTCCATCTCCAGGTATACCTCAAAACTTATCCTATTTTTGTTTTCCTTTTTTCTGGTTGTAATTTCAACCTTTTCTTCCTTCTATGCTACTGTAATTTGATTATGAATTATCTAGCATTGGAACAAAAATGATTTGCTAATATTACTCTGATAAAATTATATTCTTTTTCTGGCAGAAGTTCACAATGTTTTGCCAAGTTCTTTCTATTGGAAGTGTGTCAGTTTTTATGGAATATTCGCACTGAAGCCCAGTTATATATGGACTCATACATAATAAGGCTCCATTGGTACGGAAGTACTCTACCAAAGATTTGAACCAAGACCTCTGTTTACAAGGATAGCAATCCCGTCCACAACATCGCATCTTGCTTATAAGTTTTTGCAGTGAGTATATGTAAATATATGTGTATAGTCATTTTTCCTTTTACAAAATACATAGTAATATTTTAGTATAAGGATTGTAGTTTATTACTAAATTGATATTGTAATGTCAAATTTGGAACTAATGAAGCCAAAGTTTATATCAACTCCGTCTAACAGAGTATCTTTGAGAAGAAAAAGTTAAATCACGTGAAGCACAAGATTGTTGATGCTGAGCACTAGGAAGAGATAACTTCTTGATGATATAGATTTTATACAAAGAGAACTAAGGTTGAGCATGCTCCGTTGCCCATGGATGAAATAAGGATGCTGCTGGAAGTGGTCGAATATCAGCAATATTATCGCAATGCAACAGGAAAGGAGAAATTTGCTTCACCTGAGAAAGGGCAAACAAACGGATTGCAAACAGACACTTTGAACTCTTTTTTAGGTGAACTCAATTTTGTTTGTCCTAAATTAGATGTTTGCTATTTTATTTTTGACAGAGAAATAATTTATCTAGCTTCAAATGTAATCTTTGAGAGTAGTTCCTCTTCATGTTCTGGAGTGGGCGTATTTGTGTATTAATCTATATCTATAACAAAAAAGGTGACGTAGTACTGGGCGTGTTTATCTTATTTATAATAATTTTAAAATTGCCTAGATAATTACTCAATTAAATGAAAAACTTCCATTTCCTAATTAAATTGCAATTCATGTTTTAATAACCAATGAGAGTGAATCTGCATAAAAATTGTGGCAAAGAGTGTTTCTAACGTTAAATCACAAAGGAAAAGTAACATTGTGATATTTAAGGCTCTCTTCTATGCAATTGTATGATTCCAATAATTGAAATATATACATATATATAATACTTTTTGTCATTTTTAGTTGTTATGTTGTGGTTTTTGAAAGTCAAATTAATAAATTTTAAATTTAAATTAAATTACATTTATTTGATATTTTAAACAAAAAATTCAGATATTCAAAAACTATACGGAAAGTACTATACATAGCAATTGTTTGCATAGCAATATGATGAAAAAATATATTGTAAAATGTTAGTCAAAATTTTTATAAATTGACTCTAAAAATGACAAGCATGACAAATTTTGATAGTGGACGAAGAGAGTCTATATAGTCAATTTCAAGCTTATGAGTTTCAAATTTTGATTCTTTTATATTATTGGATTTTAATTTAATCAATAATTTGTAGAGTTGATAGATTTATTAAGATACATATAAAGTTTGGATTGAAGTTACTCAATTCACTCAAACTTAACTGAAAGTTTAGCTTAGTTCCTGAATACAGCTGAAAAAATTTTACTGGACAGAAATTTTTTATTTTTTTTAGTATTTGCTAGCTCTTTTATTGAACTTTATTTACCTATTGTATCGACATAGTGCATAGAAACAAATTGATTAGGAGTATATAGGTTTCCGCATAGTGCTTCTGTTAGTAGTCTCTATTGAAAATGTCTATTGATTAGAGTAGCGGTGGCTCCAAGATTTTAAGGTAAAGTTTAATGGATGCTCGAGCATTTGGAAAGGTCAACATAATTTCGTCACTTAATTATATATGGTGCTTTAAAATAGATTATTATTGCAAAATTTATTAAAATTTACTTTTGCATATGATTATTATTATTATTATTATTATTATTTAAAAAAAAGTGTAGCTCAATCTATAGATTTTTGTACAAAAAAATCTACTACTATTATTCATTTATACATAACACAATTAAATAATAGTTGAAGATGGCTATTATTTTTTTAGTACATTTATCATGTTAATTATTTGCTTCCATTGTTTTTCCTGACGTTACTTTTTCTCATGTCTTTTTATATTCATGCCTTAGGATATAATAGTGGTGGTTAGTTAGATAACAGAGAAATTTTGAGATTAGTTATAATGATATTAATTTTTATTGACAGTTTTATATGTTATATTAAACGTATTTTGATTTAAATGTCTTACACTGTGACATTTCAATGGGCATATTTCCAATTCCATAGTATCATCGGACTTTATATTATATATGGGTACTGTTTCGACAATTTACAAGTAGATATTACCAACAACTTTGGCTTAGAAAGATTAATTAAGAAGGTTCTCAATTAACCTCATGCCACATGCATCTTTGAATTCCAATGTTACGTTTTGCTTGATTTTCACTAGCCAACAAAAATATAGCACAAGATATTTCAATGAAAGACTATACAAAATATTTTATAACTTTTTTACCTGTTCACATGCTTGAGAACAAGAGGGGATACATTTTAAAATTACGCGTGTCATCATGTGATAGAAAATATGATGAAAGAAGAAATTTTCAATGTTCTATGGGTCTCCTTATAACTTATAAGGCTTGACCAATTTTTTTTTTTTAAAAAACTAATCTTTAAGTTAAATTTAATTTAATATGATATTATAATCGAATTTCATGCGAACATTCAGAAAATTAAACTATTGTAAGAGTAAAAATATGATTGATCTATGAATATGATATAAAAAATGAATCAAAGACCTAATTTAATAAAATAAATATATTTTTACAAGTAGCCGTGCAACTAAAAGTTAGAACTATGCAATAAATTCTAAAGAAAAAGGAAAAACAAGTACATATATACATATGTTAAATAATACACAAAGGAAGACTATAATTTAATCTAGACACGAGTAGATCAATTGTTCTTCGAAATCTATCAACACTTTCAAGGGATGGAAAGTTATAAGGATAGTAACTGCTAATAATAAATTAGATTAAAACATGAAATTTTATTAGTTTATGTTTGTGATTAAAATATTATTACTTAAGTCTTCTAAAAGAACTACTTTAACAATAATTATGTCCGCGCGAAGCGCGGTTCAATTCACTGCTATAATTTCAATCTCCAAGACTTCCAACACATGGTGTTTTGCAAGATGGAGTATTGATTTGCTCTTCTTACTAGTAAATACAGGATGAAAATAGGCTATTTTAGCATCAAAAGGTCCATTATACTATGGATATCATAAGCAAGAGTTTTGTATGACATGATACATGTTCTACATATATAATTTTGTTACAAGATGTATGTCATTTTTCTTTTTGATGTGGACCTTATCTTACACCTTAACCCCTGCTGCTGCTTCTTTGATTTGGTTGATGGTAAAAATGCCAAAACAGTCGTCATCCTTAACAGCATTTATCACTGCATAAGCAACGTCGTCCACGCTAACAGGAGGGGCAAGAATTAAATCGGATGCTGGCAACGAGTTCAATGGTTTAGTGAAGCTCTCTGTTGCACGTAATAACTTTTCAAGAGGTTCTCCAATCAAATCTAGAGGGATCTCGAAGCCGTCAACCTTCCTCTTCCCATATATAAAGGCAGGTCTAAGAACCACACCTGTTACATTTCAGTGAGAAATTCAAGTATGTAAGTAACAAAAAAATTGTGGCTGGACTAGTTCAGGGTAAGCAACAAGCAGAACACTTTCCCTTTTCATTTACAAACTTGTTGCAGACATGGTGCTGTTGTACATAATAATTTCAAAGAGACAACCGTAAGCTTCAGACTGCCACGGTCACATCAATGGGAAGTAAACATCTAATAGAGTACCTGAGCTAGGGAATTTGGAAAGAACTTCTGATTCTGCTTTTCTTTTCCCTATGAAGTAACTTGATTGGAGGAATGATGGTAGATTGTAATCATGCACAGAAATCAATATGAACTTAGGGGTCCCTGCAAATAACAAAAAATATAATGTAACACTTGGCATGAGTAGTTATGGAGAAACAAGGGAACAATGATAACATGGTGTGCAAAATGACTAGTTTAAACCTGCCATAAGGGTTGTTCTTAAACACAGCAAAGCAGTACCATACTGTTAATTGCAAATTGTAGAGAACCTCTGTTTTAGACAATCCCAAATTATTGAATACTGGATAACAGGTCTAGGTGAAGAAAAATAGATCATGAAGTTCTATATAACGAATCCCAACTAGTTTAACATTAAGGGGTAGTAATAGTTGTTTGATAAGTAAGCTAAGTTCTATTAATAAACAGACCAGCACCCAGCCAGTGCAAGAGAAATGCAAAATATCTATAATAGCAGTTACTTCATGCATATCCTACAATTTATACTTACTCAAGCATTTTATTTCAATCTGGGGACGGATTCAGCTTTTGCTTCAGTTGGTAAATGTCATTAAATTAGAAGTGACGAGCAGAATTTTCTGCTCATTAAAATCTTTAGCTCTGAGCTAAAGTAAATAATGGAGTCAACCATGCCTCATGCTTCATCACAGGGAAGCATGACTTATCTGATTCATTATATATTGCAAGTTAAAGTAAAAATAAGATAGAGAAGATAGGCACTGCAAAAACTAACCACTCAAAAGTTTATCACTAAAGGTCACTTCAGCTTTACAGATTTCTTCAAATAAATAAAATGAAAGCTACTGACCATATTCTTTAGCAGCATTGACAGCCACAACATTAGCTTCACCATTGATCCTAAGCATTTGTTCATCAGAACCAAAACCTCCTAAAGTTGAAACAACTGCTGTAGCCCCAATAAGTACTTCATCCCAGTTTGCATAGAAAACATCTCCTGCATGATAAGATGATCATATGAATAATCTGAATTGGGTGGAAAATATCAGAAAAGGACTTAAACCAAAAGTCAAAACTACACCAACACAGATAACATCTGTTACTTTTAATGGGATCTTCTTTTTTTCTGATAGAGGTAGTTTTAATTGGAATCCTCTTTCAAGTTCGCATATGACCAATTGACCATAAAAACCACACTAGGCAAAACAGTCCAGTAGTTTAAAGACTCTTTACACTTCTTCGCTCCTGTTTGGTCCGGGATTCATATTGTTTGAAGGAACTTTAGAACTTGCTCCTTTTGTAAATCTTCACCTATGGACTATGGCAAAGATTGAATATCCAGTTTTTGACAACATGTTTTGACTTCTAGGCTTCAATCATAGAATGAATAATAGAGAATTATATTTGGTCTTTCAAATGGTTGCAAAATAGAGTCTGCCCCCCCCCCCCATTCATCTTTAAGGGTAAACTGAACCTTTTTTTTCTAGTGACAGAGTTACTTTGCTTGACTATGAGGAACTTCAGTAGATTAATCTTTCCGTTATTTAGTGTGGCGAGAGAGTCTTCAAGTATCTTCAGCAAACACATTTACCCCACACACACATGACACACCAACCAAAAAATATATGTGGGATTCATTCATCAATAACATTATTATCCATTTTATATTTTTGACTCCACAACTTTCAGAGCACACAATAACCTCAAAATCCTAGATCCACCACTGCACACACCAACCAAAAAATATATGGGGGATTCATTCATCAATAACATTATTATCCATTCTCAATGAACTACGATGGCTTTCATCAGAAAGAGGGCCTGGAAACCAACTTCTACATTGATTTCATCCATGTAAATCTTTTAATTGAATTCATTGTCAACCTACTCAAGTGCATGATGAAGAAATGAACCTGCCTGTTATCCAAGTGACTTGATCTACCCATGAGTCTGATTTAGAGGGACGCCCTGATCTGAGTAGGAAATACTAAAATTTGAGAACCCATAATACGAAAAAGTAGCATAAGAGGATAGAGCAATTGTATAGATCCTTCTGAATCAACAGAAAATGTTTAAGATCCATCACATTCAATCTATAAAGATTCTTTTATTCATTGAAATCCCTATTGAACTGCTCAGTCATGTATTAAAAATACCTGCTCAGACTTATGACCTCTATACCCTCTGACACTGCGGCCTTGCATATTGCAGAGCCAACAAAGCCGCTGCCTCCTATAACTACAATCTGTTAAAAGAAAAAAGAAAAAAAAAGTGAATGACAAGTAGTTGCTATTGAGACAGTTGTAAATGGATTTGATCTCAAAAGGAGAAAGAGAAGATGCTTAAGTCATGAAGTAATACTCGTTCAGTCTTAACATCTGCTACAACATCAATTGCATCCGAGTTAGGATCCCCTCTGACAGCTTCGGCATAACTGCTTTTAATACAAAGTCGGCAAGAACTAAAAAGAAGAGAAACATTGCAAACATGTCAGGCTAGAATTCTGATCATCCCAAAGATTGCGAATACAGCGCATACAGTTTTACTTGGAACCTTAATCCAGTTCTCAGAAAACTAGTTTAGTCTTTCAAAGGATATAGTTTTCTGTGCAGATCTACATATCTCGCTTCTGCTGTGGAAAAAGGAAAGAAAGAAAATTCAACTATGCCTGACATGGAACTAAAAAATCAAAAAGATCATCCTGGAACATGATGTGACAACAATTGCTAAGGTACAGAACTGACAATCTGAATGATCACTCTTTTATTTCTATATACACTGACGATATAATTCTTAGTTTTCTTTGTACATTATTTTTAAAGCTGAAATTCTAATTTTTTAATCTGCATTCCTTACCTTTGTTAGGATTTTGAAAACCAACTCCACATGCGTGAGTTTTACAAAACTTCATGATCAGATAAAGGAAAAAGGTCATTGTATGTAGACAGACAGCCAAAAAGTAGTACTCCAAATAACCATATAATGAATACTCTTAGAGGTAAATGGACCTTAAAAGAGCGAAATGACTATCCCCAACTAATTTGAGACTGAGGGGTAGTTTGGTTCATTGATTGATTGATCTGGAACAGCATGGTCATGTACATTTTATGTGGATCATTTATATTCCCTCCGCCCCACTTTATATTAAGGTGTTACTATTTGGGGAATTAAACAATTTTCCCTTTGACTATAATCTTCTCAAACTTCTTAATTTTTTTTTAGAACTGTTAGCTATGTTGACTTATAGTAACTCTTCATGTAGTAACTAGAAAGACCATTTTCTTCTATTCATTTTGTAAGTGACCAAGAGATCTTAATTTCTCGAGTGTGTAACAATAACTGATCAAACGATAAATGTTTTCATCAAGATAAATGGTGTAACATTTGAGAAATGAGAAGCCTGCCTCTACAACTCTTAAAGAAACTAAATTACAACCATTAGGTTAGGTTTTGAATAGTATTTCCTTTCTCTTTCCCTGAGGCAGTGTGATTTTTTGTTTGTCATATTCTTATTCAATCAGCAAGCTCTTTTCAACCATCCTAGACAAATTACAGCCCAAAAAGTACTGGGAGCGGAGCTAGCTCTCCGGTGAACCGATCCAAACCTTGAATTTATATCAAAAATCAACTAAATATACCTAAATTATTAATTTAGAATCCAATAACTTGGGATATACAAGGATTAATCCCGAACCAAATTTATACTGCATTTCGTTGATGGTATAAGTTAATCCTATCAACCAAAAATGATTATAAATTTTATTGTAGGCTTAATACTTGATATCTAACTTGGAATTATAATCTCAGGACTTTAATCCCGAATAAATCCACCTATGGAATAGAATTCAAAACTCATAAACCTCAAATCACAAATAAAAGAGCATTAGAAGTTGAGCCAAATCAAGGAATACTGACCGAGAGCGAGAGACTTGTGAATGACTGTAACTGCGCAAAGTCGTAGGAAAGAGAGCTCTACTACTAGTGCTGCTAAGAGAAGGAGCTGATGTAACTTTGCAAATGGCACCGATGTTTGAGAAAGTCGCCATAGTTTTCTCTTCCACAGTTCACAGAGATGAGATTGAGAAGTTATCTAATCAATGGAAGAAAATGAATAGCAAAGGCAATAGTTGAACTTTGGCAAAATGCTTTCTGAAATTTGGTTTCTGTTTTGCCAGATTTGTGGTGAAGCCTTTTTGGGTGGGGCCATACTGGGTGCACATTTTTCTTGAATATAGCTATTAGTTAAGTTCGATTTTATGTATTAACTAATTTACTTAATTAATTTTTAAATATATTAAATTATTAATTAAATTAATAAAAATATTTTTATTAAGTTTTGGTCTTTAATAATTTAGTTTTTGATTTAAATCAATTCAAGATATTCATAAAATAAAAATATAATTTTTTTAATAATTTAACGCGATAAAGGATAATGTAAATTTAAGGGCAATTTTAACATATAGCAAAAATAAAATTTAAAATTTGTATGTTATAGTCATAGCAAACATATATATATATATAGAGAGAGAGAGTTCGCTATTCATATACAATTGAAAGTTATGCCTATTTCAACTATACATATATACAAAGAAACAATTGTATAATTCGTTGGTTACTCTTCAGATTGTATAATTTCACTGACAGACCATTTGTATAAGTTGTTGTTAGCCTCTCAATTCAACTGCATGTGTTTGTATATCTGTATAAAATTTAAATTTGTCTACAATTGAATCGAATTATATAAAACGAGAAAGAGAGAAATTTTATACAATTCAAATTTGTAATAACGAGAAAGAGAGAAAGACATTTGGGCATGGGAATATACAATTGAATCGAATTGTATAAAACGAGAAAGAAAAAAATTATATACAATTTGAATTTGTATCAAACGAGAAAGAGAGAAATGCAAAAGAGTCTTAGGCATGGAAAATTTGTATTGTATAATCATAAGTGTATCGGATGGAGATATATGTATATGCATATGTATATACAAATTTCTCTCGCTTAATACAAACGGAAACACAATTTGTACAATTTTATTGTATAAAGTGAGAGAGGCGAGCGACAAGGAGCTAGCGAGAGAAGGAGAGTGGCAAGCGAGAATATGAGGGAGAGAGGGACTGATAAATAGTTTGTTATGTAACACAAATAAATCAATCGGTAGCTACTGTATTTATTTCACTATTAGTTTGTCATTTTATACAATTATCTCTAAATTTGAATACTCTTATAAAATAGACATAGCACTATTAACTAATAGAAAAAAATTATATAAGTGCAATACAAATAAAAAAACAAAATAATAATGTGAATCGAAGGCTAAATAGTAAATGTGTAATGTACTGATAATAAAATTTAATATCTATCTAGGGAAAATGAGTAAATTACTACAATTTTATTAGGTTATTTGATAAAACCCAATATTAAAAAAATTAAAATTCAATAAAAAATTATAAAATCATTAAAGAATAATGACTCAATATCATATACTTCCTTCGTTCAGAATTGTTTGTCATGTTGCGCTTATTAAAAGTCAATTTGACTAATTTTTAAAGGTAAATTAGATAACATTAATTCGATATTTTAAACAAAAAAAAAATTCTAAAACTATATGAAAAGTACTATAAATTAATTTTTTTTACATATTAATATGATAAAAAAATACATCTTAAAACATTAGTCAAAGTTTTTATAGTTTGAATCTAAAAATAGAAACCATGACAAATAATATCGGACGGAGGAAGTACTTTTTATTTAATTTATTGACCATTTTGATTTCTACACACCTCAAATAAATCAGTATGAATTGTAAGGGGAAAATGACATATATATATATATATATACACACACACACACTATCGTAAATGGTATGTAAATATCCTTCGTCATATTTTTGGAACATTGATGTCCCCATCGCTCAAACTAAAACATATATACCCTTTATATTATTAGACATACATGTGTTATAATTTTTTCTACCGATCAGACATTTATTAAATATCGAATCAACATATAAGATTACGCTAAGTATTCCTATTTAGTCTTCTGTTACAATGGAGTATATATATGCTTTAGTTTTTGGACGATAAAAATATCAATACCCTAATAATACAATAAAATATATCTTGATATCGTCTATAATTGTTCAAAAGTATATTTATTTATTTTTCCTAAATTGTATTAACACATATAGTATTGATTGAAACTTGAAAGCAACATATATGTATTTGCTATAAAATTTAAAATGTTGTTATAGTTTAATTTGTCACATCGCAAAATTTTTAAGGCCCGAAAAAATTGGTAAAAAGAAAAAGGGTAATTGCCTAATTTCTTTTAGTGGAAATAATAAAACGAGGAAACAGAAAAAAATAAAAAATTATCATTTATTGGGGATGAAAAAAAAAGAGATTCTTTTTGGTAAGTAAGAAAAAATCTCGTGGCATTTGGCATAACATGTCATCAATTTAAGTTTGTAGACTCTTGAAAGTTCTTTTTTTTTTTAATAATAGGAAAATTATTTATGGCTATTTTTCTTCAAAATTTTAACTTTTGAGGATATAATTTGTCTTGTCATTTGAACTGGTGTGTGCATTCAATTTTTCGCTTCGTTCTTATATTATTTGGTTTAGATTTTTTATTTTTGATTTTGAAGAAGTGTAAGTTAATTCAAATCAAAATAAATTTGATTTGATTTGAATTTTCTCTTTTGGGTTTGATTTTTTTTCGATTTGGTTAATCGATTACGTCAATAGTTATAAATATAACAAAGTTATATTTGTAATTTTTTAAAAAAATATATAAATATATGTAGAGAATATTGAATTTCGTAAATATACTTTTTAATATAAATGACAAGTAAAACACCAAACTCAATACTTAAAAGTATAACAATTGTAGATGTCCAAACATAAGAAAAATAAACTAATTCATAATGAAAATAACAAAAAAGAAATAAAAGTGGTTAACTCCAATTTAATTCTAAACACACACACATATATATAATTCATTTTTTTTAATTTCTAGATTTTCATTTTTTCTAAATTCGAAACCAAACAAAATAAATTATAGATTCAAAATAAAACCAAGAATCCAAAAAAAAAAAAAACAATCCAAATTAGAATTCAATTTGATTTAGTTTGGTTTTTCAATTTAATCCAAATAGTGCACACCTATATTAAAGAATAGAGGCAATATAGTTATTTCAACAATTTATAAGAAAAATATAATTTTACTCATAAAACGCTACTGAACGTGATTTATGTATAAAGAGTAGTGGAAATATAGTAATTTCAACAATTATAGCTAAAACATAATTTTACTCACAAAACGCTATCACTGAACTTGATTTATTTATAAGAGTAGGGCAATATCAAAATTTCAACAATTTATAAGAAAAACATAACTTTACTTATAAAGAAAATTAAGTAACCGATTAGCATGTTTAAAATCATAACCTAGTAACGAGCAAATAATTATGATATTTATTAATTTGTCCAAAACATATTTGTGATTTATTATATTATATAGAGAAAACGTGTGTGGTAAGTTTAAATTCATTTGCTTCAAAATATACAGTATATAAATTGTTTTATACTAACCTTCCAAAAAAATCTATTTAAAACAAAATGAAATTATGTACTAATTTCTACTTTTATTTTTCTTTTTTCATCCTTTATAATGTTGATGGGTGGTGTTTTTGTCCCGTTCACCAATCAAAAAGATAGATTTTGCTTGCCAAAAATCATTTCAACTTTCACCATAATATATATATATATATATATATATATATATATTATGGTGAAAGTTGAAATGATATATATAGGAAATCAACAATTAATTATAGTTAATATTATTTTTCAAATTAAATTATGAAATTGTCTTTTCAAGCTCAAATTCACATGAACCCTAAACTGAATTTGAGGTGATACAAAATATAAAGGATTGTTATAACAAAGAGATGTATAAATGTGTAATCTCACAAAACTCTTAATAGTATGCAGTATTACTTATAAAATACAAGATAGTGAGTTAATTCCATATTCTTGACTAGTAGATGAATAGATGCAATGGATTAAAAAACTCATAGAAATTTGGATCAAGATCTCAATTAACAAAAACAAGTTTTTAGATGATAAAATTATTTGATGTTTATATTGATTAAAAAATAAGCATATACTTAGATTGTGGATTATAGCTAAATTATTGTAATCTAATGCCCATAGAAATTGAAACAAACCTCTCCACTTACATGTTACAATACTTAGAACATCCACACCCAAACTTATAATTCTATTCTTACATCTTGCATATTAATTTTGAAGAAGTGAGATAATTCAGTAATTCGTTATAGCTTTTGCGAAGCCAATAAAATAGCAAACGTTTTGTTCAACTTAGGTTTCAAGCTAACAATAATCAATCCACCACTCTTTTTGCTAACTCCCTTGAAGGAATCACAAGTCAAAAAAGATCAAGATGAAGCTCTATTCATTAAACTAATATATTATGATCTATAAATAATAAATTAGCTCATTTGACAATCTATCTATAATCTCTAAAAATGTTGTTACTGTGCAATTATAATAGCTAATTTGCTTACAATAAAATTATTTTAGAAGTACATAATATAAAACATAAGTACTTGTTATCTTTGACGGTTACAAAATTAAATAATAAGTTTTTTTATATTTTTAAAAAAAATTAAATAAGTATATAAGAGCAAATTATTAATTCAAATTAAATACTATAATTCTAGTTTGATTTAATTGTACCCCTTAGTAAACTATTGTTATTTCGCTTCTCTCCTAGTGAATCTCGCTTGCCACTCTCATTCTCTTCCTCGCCTCTCTCACTTTTATACAAATGCAATGTATGAAATATGTTTGTGTTTGTATAAAGCAAGAGAAAATTGTAGATATATATATGTGTTCGTTCCCCTCTATCTTCTTTCCAGATCTCACTCGCCACTCTTCCAGAAATTGCTCGCTCGCCTCGTATAAAATGCGTTTGTGTTTATATAAAACAAGAGAAAATATTATATATACACATACTTGTTCCCCTTTCTCAAATCTCACACGCCCATCTCCCAGATCTTGCTCACTCGCGCCACTTCCTAGATCTTGCTCACTCACTTGCCTCTCTTACTTTATACAAACAGAAATGTATAATTATGTTTGTGTTCGTAATAAAATGAGAGAAAATTTTATATTTAAATACTATGTATATATTTTCGTCCTATACACTTATGATTATATAAATACGAGAGAAAATTATATATATAAATGCTAATTATGAAGACCAATTATACAAACTATTACTATAACTACGAGTATGATTTTTATGTTTGCTACCTTTTGAGTATTTTAAAAATTATTTTAACACCTAAAAGGCAAATAGAGACCGAGGGCAATTTTGGTCATTTTCATTTTTACTTTTAACGCCTTCGGGGTTTAGACCGTCCATTCTCACTCCATCGAAATTGAGGTCACACAAGAGAACTGAAGAGTGACAAAAATGGCAAAGTCGTCGGCGACCAAAGACGCCCAAGCTCTTTTCCATTCTCTCCGTTCTGCTTATGCCGCAACTCCGACGAATCTCAAGGTAACTGACTCTCTCCTCGATTCCCGTGCAGCAATTTACTTTCATACAACTTTCAAATCTATACAGTTTCAGTCAATATTCACGTATTTCTATTGGGTTCTAATTGAATTGTTTTTCATCGCAGATCATTGATCTATATGTCATCTTTGCGATCTCTACTGCCTTAATTCAGGTATTTACTTAACAACTTTGCTGTCATTGATCCATTTTCTGTATGTATGTATCTTATGGGGTCAATCTTATTGCTATAGATCTGTAATTATTATGTTCTTACTGTGGTTGTATTGGTAAAATTTTGGATGATCCATGTTCTCATAAGCTGTTAACTTTCTAATGTCCTTCGAAATTTTTATTGAAAATGTATGTTATGGGGTTTGAATACTGATGGCTTAATGATGTCAGTTTAAGCATTACCTAGATTGATTTGATCTTGGTCTAATGCTTGTTTCAATTGAGCATCTGATGCATTAGAGATATGCTTTTGATGCTAATGGCGAAGTGGCTGAGGCATAATTTTTTTGGGAAGAATGTATTATAAGTAGAAAGTGGAGTTTGGGGCGGAGTATGTTTTATGCTTTGAGGGGTATTATCTTTTATTCTGTAAAGAAGATTCAAATTCAATCCTTCAATTGTTCAAACAACACCAATAAGGTTAGATAGTATTTATTATGAGAATCTGTCATTTTGGTTTGTTGTGAATAATTAGCCTAATCAGAGCTAATATGGGAGGTCTAGAAGGTCACTGTTCCCTCTGTACATCCAATGAAGAGTCATTTGGTTTGAGTCAGTTCCGTCATGAATTTTGACGTTACAGTCTGCCAACGTGATAGTCACCTTTCATGAATTTTCATAGTAGTTACTATCCAATTCCTCTAATCCTTTTTTTATAAATCAAAATGATTTCATTAATAACACCAAGAGGGTATCACCATCCAACCATCTCTTCTATATAAAGTATCCCCTTTTCAGTAAATAAAATGGAAATAAAGGTCTCTTGTCACCTCATAGTAGACTCTCTAATCCTCCAAAAAGTTCTTCTGTTCCCTTATCTCCACATCAACCAAAGACATAAAGGGGAAGCCACTCTACATGTCCTTCCAGCATCTATTTCAGGTCTCCACCTCTCCAATGTTCCTGTCAGACTCACAGAATTAGGCTGATATTTGACATGGGATGTACCGACAATAGTTCCATTGTGAACTAATTATAACCATCTCCTTGTCAAGCATCTGCTGTTAAAGGTGATTTTCAACTCTGCATACCATGTGAAGAAAGTTAGTTTCTTTGGTACCTTTTTCTCCCATACTGATCTCTATTTTTTTAAAAAATCAGCAACTGCGAAAGACAATCATAATACGATTCTAAGGCGGTGATCTTTTCCACATCACTCTATCTTCTTCCCAAAGCAGTCATGTTTACATCATCCGTTTTCCACTCTTGTATGTATCTCTAAAATAAAATTTGACAATACTTGGCTCCCTTCTCTTCTGAGGAGTTTGTCTGCTGTTGCTTCTTTGTCACTATCCTTTAGAAGTTGGATCCGAATACCATGCATCCTACCAATGTTGGATTTGGTTACATATCCTTACCTTACCTTACCATACAACCAATGAATTTGGAAAATTCATCCTTCCCTTCCTGTTTCTTCTCTGTAAGCTGCATTACGATGTAATACCTCCCATGGGAACCATCAATTTTGATGACACCAGCTTCTAGTAACAATCACCTTCATCCATAATGTATCCATTTGAGTCACACACATCTAAACTACTTTTCCTGAAGGATTTGATTAAATATTACTCAGGTCACCCAACTCTAGAGGGGCTATCACCTTATCCTATTCTACGAATGATATCATTTCTCCCCCTTTGTGTCATATCATTAAAAACTCATTAATTTTTCAGCTTTTCTTTTCCAAGTGAGAGGGATAGTGAATAATGACATAAAATAAGTTTACAGGTAAGTATCAACTTGGTGAGGGTGATCTTTTCTCCTCTTGATAAATACTGCATCTTCCACTTGTCCAATCTCTTTTCAATCTTGTTGAATTACTGGTCGCCGGAGTTCCAGTATCTTTTAACAATTCTCCTCCTATATGGTCGTGTTGATTCTTGATTCATTATAAAAAACATGATTTCTATGAAGCATGCTAAACCAGCTCCTATTAACTATGTTGCTCCGACTCTTAAAAAATGTCAATGGGTGGTTGTCAGATTCTCCAAAAGTTGTGTATTTCTTGTAAAATTCGACACGAGTGCGGCATCGAAAGTGAAGTGTCCGTGAAACTTAGCCTATTAGTCAGTGGTGCCATTCCGGCTCTTTTACCTGCTCCTTGCAACTTTCTGTTCTTTTGCAGTGATGGACATTAAGGATTGGGCAAACCGTACCTCTGCTAAAGATAGTGCTTACATAATCAGATATGACGCCCAGAAACATTGTTAGACTATCACAGCCCAAATTGCTGAAAAAGATCTTTAACCTATTTTGGCAAAATTCTCATATTTATTTGCCGATTTCAGTTTGTATTATTGCCAAGGAGCACTCCTTTTACACAAGTCACTACTTTCTTTTTCTTTGTTATCCTATTCTTCCTAAGCTCTTATCTCTGTAAAGTCATTGCAAACACAATGACGTTGTGTGAGAAAGGATCATTTTCCTGTAATTTGTTATTTGACTGTGCTTTCTTATGGGAAGGCAAATATAATGTGCCACTCTCACAAGGCAGCAATTTGCCTGTGTAAATAGCTCCTTTGCTAATTCATTTGTTGCCAATTTGAAGAGTAAAAACATGATTCAATGTCTGAGAATCAAGATATTTTTGCTTGATTTGTACAATTATCTGTTTGATGGTTGACGTATTTTTCACTTCTACTGGCAACTCAGGTGGTATACATGGCTATTGTTGGATCATTTCCATTCAACTCTTTTCTCTCTGGGGTGCTTTCTTGTATTGGCACAGCAGTCCTTGCTGGTGAGCTTGAGTGGTCTATTTAGATGCACTCCATTTTTGAGAAAACGTTTATTTGAAATGATTCATTAATATCTTTCTTACAGTTTGTCTTCGGATCCAAGTAAACAAAGAAAACAAGGAATTCAAGGTAAGCTTTCTTGGGATATGATCTTCCATTTTACAGTTTTACCTTGAATCTCCCCTCTAATTTAGTTGTGTTAAAATATGTTGCGACGTCATAGATTATCAATGAATGTGTAGCATGTCATGCACTTCTAGTTATGCGGTCTCTTCCTAGAAGAAGAGAAATGTAACTTGAGGCAGCTGGGCTTATGTTTGTTTTTTCCTTTCAAATTACTAGTGCTTACAGAGTATGTCAATGAATCTCATTTACGTTTGGTCCACCATTGCAGGATTTGCCTCCGGAACGTGCTTTTGCAGATTTTGTTCTCTGCAATTTAGTGCTCCATTTGGTGATCATGAACTTTCTTGGCTAGATTGAGGCACCAAATCTTGAAAATGTTGCTCTTACAAATCTTGGTGATTTTTATGTAAGAATAATATAGAGTCAATCGTAAAGGATTTTGTTAGGCTTTCGGAAATATTAAGTTTCTCATGCATGAAACTATTTTACATTTATGAATCTTATATGAGTATTAGTAAGTAGACAATCTTTGGCCATTCTGAGTTCTATAGCCCAAAAAGGAGCCAAACTTTTTCGGTATCAAATTATTTTGCCTTTTTCTTTCCAAGTGGTGACACCAGTAGCCTGAACTTGTTCCAACACTTGATCATGAACTGTGTGCATATCCTTGGGCAGATTACTCACAAAGAGAGGAACTCTATGACCATTTCTTTATTGGTATTTTTGATATCACTATAATGTATGGCTGATTCAAATTGGCCCCTCGTTGATATTGCTGGCTGGCAACAACATCGTGGGTAGATATGTGTTCAAATTTCAACAACGATGAATACTAGGTGTTCGGTGTTTTCTTTCTCATATGCTTAAGCTTTGATGGTCAAAGTTACTCTACGTCTCTTACGCTGATTCGTTTGAGGAATTTCGTTACTTCCAGCAAAAGAAAATTGACCATGGACTTTGTCATTCTAGGACTTGTGAGTTTCCATTGACCGTAGATTTTAATAATTTAATTGAACTGATATGCCGATATCGAGAAAGACCATTGACCATAGTTTTAAATCATTTAATTGGCCAAGTCTATGTAGGTTTCTTGCATTAGTGATTCATAGTTTTTAATCATTTAGTTGGCCAAGTCCATGTCTAGTAATCACTGTGGTCCTTTTATAGTCTGTTAGTCTTCATTAATGATGCACAGATTTTTCTGATCCATGTTGTTGTTCATAAATTTCTTGATGACTTCTACTGCAGAGGCTTTCTTTGTAAAAAAGAGCTTCCACAACTTCACAACTTAATTAGGTATGCAACGTAACTTTCTCTTCTTGCATTACCTCTTTAGGTTGTCGATTGTTATTATGGCCGCGTTAGAAAATATATTTTTTTTCAATTTTTTCACGTTTGATTGCTCAAATATTTTGGATTTTTGTTTTTAACTTCTACCATTCCCCACTTGATGAGTTTGAAAGCTGTGCCTTAAAGAATTTTTACAACAGTTATTATAAGTTTTATAAAAAGAAAATCAGTCGATAATTTTTTATTTATTACATGTGTTAACCAATGCATGCCTTCCACATAAACAGAATCAGACAGCAAAATATCATATCATGTCTGTGATTATGAGACAACTTCCGGTGGTGAGTTAAAGGACAAATGCTTAAGAGTTTTGGGATTAGCGATATAAACCAAGCAAAATTTTAGAGACTTTCTTAAAATACAAATTAACATAATCTGATTTTGGTCTACTTTCTAACACATCCTTATCTTATGGGATCTTATTGTCCTTGTTGATTTGATCCCATAATTAAGTTTTGGATTATCATTGCAAATTGCAACTAATTAATCTTTTATGTATACTTTATTATTAAATAAAAGACAGTACATGAAATACAGTCATCAAGACCATATCAAATGCAATATTTGGTCCATGAGTTTTATGGTTTGCATAGCCTATTTTAGTAATTGATTTAATAACTTCTTTTCTCATTAAAGATGAAGTATCCATTGAACATTCACATTGGAAGTGTGTTTGTTTGTATATTCTTTTTGGGTATATTCCAATTGATGAATTCTTTATAACTTGTCTTAGAAAAAACATTGTTGTTTGTGTGCTTTTAGTTAACATTTGGATAAAGTAAGAGAGGTATATTTCAAAAGTTACGATTTTTTTTTGCGCTAAATCAAATTAAATAAATAAATAAAAATGAAGAAAATGCATCAATTATAGTGTAGTTAATCCTAAGACTGCGATCAAACACAAAATATACTATATGTATTCTATTTTAAAATTATTTTTATTTACGTTGATATCAATTTAAATGCAGAGCAACCGCTACCTCTCTCTGGGACAATAAATATAAAGGTTTTGTTTTGCAAATAAGGGTAAAATTGCACATGGACTAAACAAAAATTAATGTCTATTCAAATCTTCAAAGGCTTATTCTCCTCTCATGTATGTCCCACTCCATATATTATTGCGTTAAAAGTATTTTCTTAATATTTTGTTTATAATTATGAGATATACCTTAAAGTATAGTTTAATGTAAGAAAGAATATTCACACTTTATTTGCCCCACTAACTCATGCGCGTGGAAGAAATTAATTTAAATATATTTTCATCTCTAGATATTTTTCTTAACGTGTGTTTGATTTTTTAAAAATATTTTAATACGTAATTTAATAAAATATTATAGAAATAAGATTGAATAGGCGGAAGTGGAGTTTGGTGTTGGTTGGAATGGTCGAGCGATGGGGTTTGGATGAGTTTGGTGGTGATAGCGAACTTTTAATTTCAATTTCGAAGTGTTTTTTTTTTTTTTTTACATTTCCCTTAAAAAAATTAATATTTTTATTTTTAAAGAATTAATTTTTCTAAACTTTTTAACCCGTCAACATAAAAATAAAAAATATTCTTGAAAATATTTCCTATATAACAGACACATAAAAGGATCCTTTGGTACGCATACTAAATTATGTTGGTACTATAAATTTCGAACTTATTTATCCCCAATAAAAAATGAGAAAAATATCAAAATTGAATTATACGTTCATACTTCATGCCATTAATTAAATACAATATAAATTTTATTTCATCCTTATTCTTAAAATACCCCCATCTTATTCAACCCCTCAATTGGAAATGAGTTTTACCATTCTTATATTCTATCATCATTTTTTTTCTTCACAAAAACAAAGTTTTAACAAATGTCTTCCCTCATCTCGTCGGGACGTTATATTTTCAAAAATAAAAATAAATTATATTTTTTTTCTTCAAAAAGTATTCAAGTAAGAACAAAATGAATTTTTCCATGCTAAACTTATGGGATTATTTTGTTGAAAACAACTTATACCGTCATTCTTTTTTGGGATAATGTCATAGTCTCAACCTATGCCCGAAATCTCAGAGACACACTTATACTATACTAAGGTCCTATTACCTCCTGAACTTATTTTATTAATAATTTTTTACCCCTTTTTAGCTTACGTGGCACTATCTTATGGACCCAACGATGATTGACTTTTTTTTCGAACTAGTGCCACATATGCTAAAAAGGGGTAGAAAATTACATATGAAATAAGTTTAGGGGTAATAGGACATTAGTATAGTATAAGTGTTTCTATGAGATTTCAGGCATAAGTTGAGGGGTACTTGAATATTTTCTTTTTTTTTTCAAAAAAAAAGTTAATAATTATTATAAGCCAAATCATCCCACACATACAATAATTTATTTATCATTTAGTAAGATTAGGAGTAGAGTTAGGTGAAGTTTCATGAGTTTGGACGAAATTATTAGTTAGTCTATAGACTCTATATATAAACTTGTCATAACAAAATTAATTCACAATTAATAGTAAGGAAAGGGAGATAGAAATGTTTTTTACACTAGTGATTATAGGTTCAAATCGTTCTAAAATTTAAAATTTTCCCATTTCTAGTTTTGATTCCACCTTTGAGTGAAATAATAATTTAAAATTTTCATACTTCTAATTCTGATTCCCCCTCTAACTAAAATAAATAATTTTAAAACTGCTTAATATTTCGAACTAATACTTCCCTTTCATTGGAGAGAAGTTACTCAAAGGTTGGTCTAATAGGCTATTGCCACTATTTCAAAAGAAGGGTGTATAGTTGTTACACGTGTCCAGATAAGACTAGCTTAGTTCCATATAAAAGCCAATGAAATAAATGAAGAAGTATTTTCAGATAAATAACAAAAAAAAGAAAGAGAAGAAAAGAAAAACACTCAAATAACTGTATCACAAAATTCACACACACAATTGGGTGATGGAAAGCACGTGCTCGTTCCTGATAAAACACTCTCTCTCCCTCACAACACGCATATATTCATTTCACTCCTCACTTTTTTTCTCGACCCTTTCTCTCTCTAAACCTCTCCATTCTGTGGTGGTGATGTTGATCCTCTCAGCGGCTTCGTCTTCTTCTTCTTCTTCTTCCTCCTTCATGCTTTCTTCCGCTTCGTCTTCTTCTGCACGCATTCCGAGGCCGTTATCTTCATTTTCAACTTGTGTACCAGTAGTAGTAACAACTGTTTCTTCTGCAGCAACTTCGACGCTATTCCCGATTTCCTGTTTCGGTGTGAAATCGAGGACGGTTGGGATTCGGAAGCTACGGTGTGCCGTTTTTTGTGCTTCGAAGGTACGTGGAATGGCAGAAATGATTGAAGATGCCATGACAGTTTCTGCTTCTGAGAGTCATGAGCTTCCGCAGTCCCGAGACTTCCTTGACGCACGCACTGGAGAAGGTTTATCTCTAGCTATTATTACTTTTTCTTTAATTTGAAATATCTTGTGCATTTTTTGCTTTCTATTGCTACTTTCGCTTTTTTCATTTTTGAATTTGAAGTATCTTGTGCATTTTGTGCTATTTTCGTGCGGTTTGTTACTCTTGTTCTCTGTTGGAATATCTTGTGCTATTTCGGTGGGGTTTAACATTTTGTGCGTATTATGCCAGAGACTGTTGTACACATTCACGCTACAATGTTTGTTTTCTTTCGAATGCATTGAATTTCTCAATATTCTTCACAATTAACAATGCTGAACATATGAGGCGCGTTATTACATTTGCAGAAGTGCATTTATTTTTTGTTAATTTGCCCTATGCTTGTTGCTCTGAAGAAAATGTGTTGAGCCCATAGTTAAATTGAACTAATATTGCATTTAGCATGGAGTTAACTGTGAATTTTGTCAAGTAATAATTTCTTTGCCACATAAACTATTGAACTCTATGTCCATGGTGAAATTAAACATCGTTATCTAATGTTGTCTACTCTTTGGTTTTTCCTATAAGTCCTATCAAATAGACTTGTAGTACATCAGTTCCATTCTAGGAGATGAATTGGTTGGTTGCAATAGCAGTTTCAGTAGTGGTATTAATGAAATTGGTGTTGGCATAAGGTTGCAATAAGAGTACTTATCTGTGCAAGCATGCTTAACAGTTTAAAC